TGCTTAGTGCACGCTGGCTGCTACTGTGTTCTCTTACCAACCCAATTAGGCTGTGAGCTCCTTGAGGACATGGTGTTTCGAGTGACTCAGTATCCCTACTATCTAGTGAAAGGAAGGAAGGAAAGGAGAAAGGTGAGACGGAAGGAAGGAAGGAAGGAAGGAAAGAAGGGGAGACAGGAAGGAAGGAAGGATAATAGCAGCAAATATTTATAGAACGACGATATGCCAGGTAGTGTGCACTTTCTTAGTTAATCCTCCCAACTACTCAGTGAGGTAGATCCTATTATTAAGTTTTCCTAGCTTACAGAGGAGAAAACATGCTTAGGAGGGTTAGGTAATACGCCCAATGTAACAACCCACAGGGAACAAAATTGGAGAGCCAGCACTGGAGCCAGCTTAATTCTAGGGACAAAATTCTTGATCTCTGATGCTGTGCTCTTGCTCAGAGAGGAGAGTTTGAGCTAAGAACGAGAAACTGGGAATCTTTATACAGAAAGGAAAAGACAAGAAGGCTGCAGAGAGAAAAGGGAGGGAGAGATGCCTCAGTACGACCTCCTCCTGAGGTAGTCAACCCCAACCTGAGACAGAAAACGCGGTTTCTGCTGAATTCCTAAACATCTCCAGAAAGGATGTGTGGACTTCTTTGGAGTCTGTCCCAGCTTTCATTCTTTTTTTTTTTTTTTTTTTTTTTTTTTTTACAGGCAGAGTGGACAGTGAGAGAGACAGAGAGATAAAGGTCTTCCTTTGCCGTTGGTTCACCCTCCAATGGCCGCCACAGCCGGTGCACTGCGGCCAGCGCACCGCACTGATCAGATGGCAGGAGCCAGGTGCTTCTCCTGGTCTCCCATGCGGGTGCAGGGCCCAAGCACTTGGACCATCCTCCACTGCACTCCCTGGCCACAGCAGAGAGCTGGCCTGGAAGAGGGGCAACCGGGACAGAATCCGGTGCCCCAACCGGGACTAGAACCCGGTGTGCCAGCGCCACAAGGCAGAGGATTAGCCTAGTGAGCCGCGGCGCCGGCCTCCAGCTTTCATTCTTCAAGCGTCAAAGATTTCCGCAGATAGCTCTTAAGTGGTCTTGCCTAGGGGAGAAAACACATAGTCGTGTTTGATAAAGTTACCATGAACAGGGGCTGGCGTTGTGGTGCAGCGGGTTAAACTTGCTATGTCAGCATCCCATATTGGAGCACTGGTTCAAGTCCTGACTGTGCTGCTCCTGATCCAGCACTTTTCCTAATGCATCCTGGGAGGCAGCAGGAGATGGCTCAGGTACCTGTGCCCTGCCACCCACGTGGGAGACCCAGAGGGAGTTCTGGCTGTTGTGGACATTTGGGGAGTGAACCACAGATGGAAGCACTCTCTCACTCTTTCAAGTAGATGAAAATAAATAAATTTGACTTTTGAAAAGCTACAGTGAACATCAAACGAGTGAATACTAAATCTTTGTTCCTAGAAGAAATACAAGGTTAGATTCCTGCAAGCCTTTGTCCACATTTTCATTATCTGACCAATATATAAGCTTTTGTTTGAAGTTCTTTTTAAAGACATTTCTAAAATATATACTGATGATGATTCTTACACTGCTGTTGATTCTCTTGAGCTAGGCAGTCCAATTTAATCTAAATGGGAAAAAATAAGCCACTGAAAAGGAGCTGGCATTGTGGTATAGTGAGTAAAATTGCCACCTACAATGTCTGCATCCCATATGGTTGCCAGTTTGTGTTCTGGTTGTTCCACTTCGGATCCAGCTCCCTGCTGATGGCCTGGGAAAACAGCAGAAGATGGCCCAAGTGCTTGGGCCACTACTACCCACATGGGAGACCTGGAAGAAGTTCCTGATTCTTGGCTTCAGCCTGGTCTATCCCTGGCCATTTGTGGCTATCTGGGGAGTGAACCAGCAGATGGAAGATCTCTCTCTCTTTTCTTTTCCCCTCTCTCTGTTACTCTTTCAAATTAAAAAAAAAAAAAAGCCTCTCTCTCTCTCTCTCTCTCTCTCTCTCTCTGCCTCTCCTCTCTCTGTGTAACTCTGACTTTTAAATAAATAATAAATCTTTTTTTAAAAAAGAAAAAGGCATAGAAAAGCAATTCCTTTCACTTATAAACAAAAATCCACGAGGCTCTGCTCTCTGAGCTCCGCCAGTTCTTCCAAGACAGCTCTGCAGAGCCTTTCCCAGGGCTGCTAGGACAGCAGTGTTCTGTGAATTCATCTTTCCTTTCACACACACTGCTGCTCCTTGTGATCATTAGCCGGGATCCAACTGAATGCCACAAAGGATGGCGAGCATTGTGCCGAGAAGAGCCCTGCGCACTCCCAGGCAGGCCAAGTTGCTCCCATTGACATTCTTTTTCATGCATTTCTTCCATTCTGGTCACACAGTCATGCAGAGGAGCAGCTGGTGCCACACTCCCAGATCAGTGGCAAGGTTACAGCTTTGCTTGGTTTGGTGTTTTAAGAGCAGACATGGGAAAAGGGCAGGCCAGAGCAGTGCAGAATAGAAACCTCGGGCTCAGTGCCCCTGCCTAATTTCCCTGGCATACTTTGAAGGTTTTGAAGACTATACTGTCATCTGTTAGGAATACTTAACTTTTGATACAAGTAGAAAACAGGAGCCAGCGCTGTGGTGTAGCGGGTAAAGCCACTGCCTGCAGTGCCAGCATTCCATATGGGTGCTGGTTAGAGTCCGGGTTGCTCCTCTTCCAATCCAGCTCTCTGCTGTGGCCTGGGAATGCAGCAGCAGATGGCCCAGATGCCTGGGCCCTTGTACCTGTGTGGGAGACCAGGAGGAAGCTCCTGGCTCCTGATTTTGGATCTGCACAGCTCCAGCCACTGTGGCCAATTGGGAAGTGAACCAGTGGATAGAAAACTCTCTCTCTGCCTCTCCTCTCTTTGTGTAACTCTTTCAAATAAATAATTAAAAATAAAAAACAAGTAGAAAACATTACGCCCCTTGAAATAGTCCTCTCGTAAGACTCTTGTGGTCAGCTCTTCTCAACTTGCTGGCCGGCTGTCACTGCCTCTGTTCTTTTCTGTCCCTCTCTGCACTTTGTACTGTGAATGCCCTCCCCAGTCTCAGCCTGCTAGGGCACCTTCTTTCACTTACCATTCACAAGTGGTCGGAAATCACTCCCTTCCAATAAAACCCTGTGGAACCCTCAGAAAAAAAACCACAACCTCAACTTTTCCAAATACAAAACTTCAGACTTCCTTAATTACTGCATCACTAAAATCATCACCACTCAAGTGCATGTAATTAGCATTTTAAATTATGTGCTGGTTTTCAGTTTGGTGTTTTCATCAGTGTAAACAAGCTTTTTCGGTTCTTACTGCTTCTGAATGTAATACAGCACTATATAAAATATGGAGACTCCATACATGTGTTTTGACTTCATAGGCCAAATAGTACCTCAAATTTGTGCTCAGGTAAAAGCCACTAGATCCTAAGTAACTTAACAAAGCAGCCTTGAGGTGACAATGTAAGGGCTGGGCAGCAGCATTCACCCACTCTGTGAACAAACATTTGCTCTAATACCTGGCCACTTTTCAAATTGGTGGTTGACCCTAGAGGAGTTACAGGGTTCTGTGGAAAGATTATTTTTCCCTGAGAGGCAGGTAGGGCATGGGTTGGGGGCTAAGATATACACACACACTCATACACGTACACACATAGACATCAAGACCCCATCCACTCCACAAATGCCAGCAATGGCCAGGGTTGGGCACTTAACCCAGATTTTCCACACAGGTGACAGGAACCCAAGCATTTGAGGCACCACTGCTGCCTCCCAGGGTCTGCACTGGCAGGAAGCTAGAGTCAGGAGCCAGAGCTGGGAATTGAACCTGGGTACTCCAATATGGGACATTGGTATGTTAACTGCTAGGCTAAATGTCTGTCCCCTAGGAAGATTCTTCATGTCTCTTTTTGAATGCTTTTTGCTGATCTCACTGTACCCACTTCCAAGTTGATTTGCAATCTGTTAGTCTATGAACCAAAACAGTCTGACACTGCTCTCCCCTACCCCTGGGCCATGTTTTATATTAGTCTCAATGAGAATAGTCTTGCCAAAGTATAGACTCTAAGGGCAAAATACATATCTGCACTTGGGGTAATCATCAGCTCTCTGACAAAGAATTTGGAAAGAGTTAGTGTCTGATGGACATACTGCTGGGGTTAGGTGTCTCTTTAGGGTTCTTCTTAGCACTGTGGCTTGGACCCACCCCCTTCCTTAGGCAGAAAACCAGGACGCATTCAGTTAGGAAAAGCACTTTGCATTGACACTGGTTTCTGTAATACCTATTGCATTTAGGAATACTGAATTAGTGCTTTTTGTGTCTTGTAATCAAGCTATGCCATTTTATCACAATGCCAAAGGCACTTCATTTCATTCTACTGGCCAGCTACAACATCCACACAAAAACAGTTTGATGAAACGATTGCTTTTATAAATGTGTGCTTTGGCAAATGCCTTTGCTTAATGTCATCACAAGTCACAGCAAATCTATTCAAGATGGGATAATGAGTGATATGTAGTGTCCGGGAAAGTGGCGCCACAAGGAAAGACAATGGAAAAGAAAGCTACACAGTAAAGACAGAGGTGGGGACATAGTTGTCAGCAAATAAAGGCAAGGAGTAGAGGAAAGGTTAAGGGATCTGAAATGTAGGGCCAAAGACAGAGAAAGAAAAATGATCCTCATTGTCCAATTGTCATGTTAATAAGACAAAAATGCTGCCAGGTGCTGGTTTAGAATAACTTTACATCAGGCTTGCAAAAAAGAACACACTATTTTCCCAGCCCATGAAATGCTATTAATAGACAAGGCAAGGTCACAGAGGGAAGCTGAGACAGAGGTAAAGAATCCAAAGCGGTTTCTGATTCTAACTCATACAACCTTAGAAAGAGTAGATTAAAAGCATGGGTTTGAAGCAGAATTTAAAACAATAAGCACAACTGTCTCATATATTTGTTTCTACAATTTTCACAAGAAATCCATATTTGCAATGTATATTTCAGTGATTTTTAATTTTGATTTGGCACATAGACAAGGAAGATTTTACTTATAAGTTTAATTTAAAGGCTTGTACCTGATATAACTCAAGCCCGTTACAAATCAAATGTCTCCCCCAAAAATGCAGTAAACAGTGTCCTAGGGTAACTGTACATGGGTTATACTATGCAAGTTTTCACACACCAGTATTCCAAGATGGGAGGTAACAGTACAACAGAGAGAGATTCTTTCAGAAAGAGCCTACACGTGGAAGGCGGGGGCCGACCACTGGCTCTGTGCGGGATGGAAGGCTTTGGAATGTGGAACAGACGTGGTGTGGTGGTTTGATTTGTGGCTCGGGCTGCAGCTCCTCTTTCTGGGCATCTTTCTCTTGACAGAATCGCAGCATAGCTCAAGTTCCTGGAGAGTTTCACAATCCTCCTCCGCCAGCACGTCCATCTATTAGGGTCTAGTGCTTGGATGTCAGCGTCAGTGTGGATGAAACTCGGAAGATCTGGGGCAGCATGTTACTAAGCTGGTAAAACATTTCTTCAGAAATACTCTGTAGGAGGTTAAAAAAACAACTGTGTATTTGTTCAATCACCACAGACTTTTATTTTTAAACTTGAAAAGCACTTTAAAGTATGAACTTACTTCTCGATATGGAGTGGGATACTTGAGAATGAGCTTTTATGGCTGATTTAATTGCACAGCTATGGACAGGGCTTGCTTTTCTGGCTCCATCTTTTGAGACCTTAGCTTGTCGCTGTCAAGTAAGCTTGATTACCAGAACAATCCCTACAGAAGTCCTGTGCTATCCCTATTGCATTACCACTAAGTTGGCCATGTTCTATACAGGACACAGACTCATCCTCTGTGAACGCCCTGCTTGTGAACACTTTGTAATCTACACAGCATCCATGGGGAGAAAACAATGGAAAGACCAATCACTTTGGTTTGGGGGCTACAGAACAGATCCCTTGAGAGGTAGATGCCGACATCTCTCACAATAAACCAAGTGCTTTATGGCATCCAAATGCATCTCCCCTTACAAGAGAGGAAGTGTTAGCATTTTAGTTTTAGGAATTTGGGACAGCGTGTCTAGCTCTATGTGTGAGGAATATTCTATAAAAGACATTGAACTGGGGTGAGACATATGCAGATAACAAACCTGTGGAACCAGAAACTGCACGGTTCTGGAAATTCCACCATCCCATGAAGCCATTTCCATCATGAACCCTAAAACAGAGCAATAAACTTTGCTGCATTAGGAGTTCTGGTCTTCACACCTGCCAGTCACGCTCTGAAATAAACTGCGTTTTCACTGTGGGGTTTCGTGTCTTGGCTTTCCCCGCTAGCCGCCTGCCTGCAGGAAGGCTCTGCCTACAGGACAGACTTCGGCAGTTTCTAATCCTCCGTGACACAGAGGCTTTAACATAGCTCTGTCAACACACCCTTGCGATTTCCCAGTTAGTGTGCACTGAGTACGGCCCATTAAGTGAAGTAACAGAGGTGATGAAACGTTAATTAAATAAGTGGCTATTTTCTGCTTTTTTTAAAAAATGAAAAACAGTAGAGAACAAGCCGGAATTATATATATGTATACATATATAAATATGTAATATATATTATATATAAATCCAAATATCTTTTATTTCAGAAGAGCTGGCAATTTGTACTAAAAAAAAATTAAAAGCAATTCTGAAGTACTTTCTTGCTAAACATTTCAGCGAAGTCCCAGGGGCCAGGAGTAACATTCACAGGCCTTCTGCATTGCTTTATGTTTAATATTTGGAAGGAGAGACAGAGGGTAGTTGGTGGACAGAAGGGGAAGCTCACCTTTGACACACTTAAACACAAGTTCGGCTCTCCTCAAGCACCAGGGGATAGTCATTTCCTAAAAACAGAAATGGAACAAATACTTTGTAAAAGGCAAAACATAGGCAGATGTTTATTTGTCTAAACGTGGACTGTGCACACTGTGAATGGGTTCAGGCTGCTCTTTGCTAACCATAATTGTGACTGGCTTTCCTCTGACTCTTAGGCTAGAACCTCTTCTAGCTGTTACACCAGTCTTTACAATGTGAACCAATTTAATGAGCCTAATAAATAAACTAAAAATAAATATACCCTTAAAACTTCTTAGATAATGAATTCTATAGGCTGATATAAGTGACATAGCAATTCCACCTACTGCTTTCAGGAACAGCATTAATATTGGGATAAGCAATAAAATATTTCTATTATATACCATATTAAAATATTGTATACCATATTACATATTAAAAATGTAATAAAATACCCCACCCCAGCTACCTAAATGCATTCACTTTTAGAAGCTTTCTTTCTTTTTTAAAAGATTTATTTACTTATTTGAAAGTCAGAATTACAAAGAGGGAGAGAGATAGAAAGAGGTCTTCCATTCACTGGTTCACTCCCCAAATGGCCGAAACAGCCAGAGCTGGGCCCAGCTGAAGCCAGGAGCTTCTTCCAGGTGTCCCACGTGGGTGCAAGAGCCCAAGCACTTGGGCCATCCTCTGCTGCTTTCTCGGGCATATTAGCAGGAAATTGGATCGGAAGTGGAGCAGCCAGGACTTGAACTGGTGCCCATATAGGATGCCGGTATTGCAGGTGGTGGCTTAGCCCACTGTGCCACAAGGCTGGCCCCTATTGCAAGTCTTGAAATCAGCTGGTGTAAACCTCCCAACTTTGCTTTCAAAACTGTTTTTTCATAAAATTTTTTTCAAAATTTGTATTTTTTTTGAAAGGCAGAGAGACAGAGATCGTCGATTTGCTGGTTTACTCCCCAAAATGACTGCAACACACAGGGCTAGGCCATGCTGAAACCAGGAGGCTGAAATTCAATCCCGATCTGTCATGTGGGTGGCAGGGACCTCCAGTTTAAAGCCATCACTTGATGTCTCCCAGGATGCACATTAACAGAAACCTGCAATCAGCAGCAGAGATGGAACCTGAATCCCGGAACTTTTGATATGAGATGCAGGTGTCTAAGGTGGTGGCTTAACCACTTCACCAAACACCTGCCCATTTTGACTGTTTTAGATTTTGTGTATTTCTATATAAATTTTATAGTTAGTTTGTAAAATCTTCAAAATGCCTTATTAAAATTCCAACTGGGATTCAAATCTATAAATCAACTTTAGGAAAACTGTTATCTTAATGCTGAATCTTCTAACCCATGAACGGTATACATTTCCACTTATTTAGTTTTTTTTTTTTTTTTTGACAGGCTGAGTGGACAGTGAGAGAGAGAGACAGAGAGAAAGGTCTTCCTTTGCCATTGGTTCACCCTCCAATGGCCGCCGCGGCCGGCACGCTGCGGCCGGCGCACTGCGCTGATCCGATGGCAGGAGCCAGGAGCCAGGTGCTTTTCCTGGTCTCCCATGGGGTGCAGGGCCCAAGCACCTGGGCCATCCTCCACTGCACTCCCTGGCCACAGCAGAGAGCTGGCCTGGAAGAGGGGCAACCGGGACAGAATCCGGCGCCCCGACCGGGACTAGAACCCGGTGTGCCGGCGCCGCTAGGCGGAGGATTAGCCTAGTGAGCCGCGGCACCGGCCTTATTTAGGTCTTTTACAATTGCTCTCACCACTTTTTTTGTAGTTGATGGGTCATTTTTCATACCATCCTTTTTTATGTGAAGACATTTTAAGCTTGTCTTCAAGTTTTTAAATACAGTAAGCAATTACTCTGTTCTGTGCGTCATAACTCCAATTCCTCAAGTATTTCTGCATCTGTTTTTATGTTTGGTTGTTTCTGCTGGTTCTCATTCATTGTCTCATTTTTTTAAGGACTTACTTTTCTTTTACTTATTTTAAGCACTTTATTCAAGAGTCATCTTAGGAATAAATGCTAAAGCCATAATTGAGCATTTGCATCTTCTTAAGATACTACCCAAAAATATTTTTTGAAATACCACATTTAGTAATTGGAATCAAGGATTACTTTTTTCTATTATTTTAAAGTGCTCATTTTTATATAAAAAGTATTATCTGTTTACAATCTATAGAGCTGTTTACTGATATCTATGATTAATCTTTGAATTACTTCAGGCTAAAGTCAAGTCTAAGGGCTCCTACTCACATGAGGAAAACTATTACTGTGACTAGAACTTTTGAACACCAACATACAGACTATATATTACCCCAATACATTAAGATCAGGATAGCACTGGCAGTGATAAGACTGTACAACAAATTAGATTAGGGATGGTACTAATGGTATGACCAAAAGCATATAGAAAAAAACAATCATGTCCTTTCATTGCCCCGTTTGTCCAAAATCATCAAATTTTATCCAATCATACTACATTTTCTTTCCTTTTAAATGTATGTGGTTAATACACCCAATATCTATCGGACAAATTAAGAACTTCATACTCTTTAGAATGATGTGAGCTGATGATAAAATTTCATCAATGCTGTTTAGAGACTGTACTAAAATATCAATTCATGGCAGGCTCCCAGTATCTTTGAAGTGATACATAAATTTAAATGTCAATTTAATTTTTAGATGAAATATGCTCTCATATTCAGTTAATTTTAACCTCGTGCTGATAAGCAGCATATGAATCTGAAAAGAAATGCTAGACAGCAGCATGCATATACCCATATGTGCACATATGTGTACATGCACACACACATCTGAAGTGTTTTCACATTTTCCCATATGCCTAGAGAATCTGTTTCAAGCTTAAGGTAAATGCTTTCCAGTGTTTTATTCTGTCATTTTATCTCTAATTAACATCAGCACCCAAGAAGAATGGCTTCAGGTACTTAGGAAACATAACCTGTAAGCTTTAGAAGCTAACAAGTCCATCAGAAGACATGACTTATTATTGGATGTCAGGGGATGTGGCCAGAAGTTCCACAAACAGCTCATTCTGCAAATAGGTCTTAGTAGATATCATCTACTAGATGGGATACAAATCCTAGTGGGGCAGGTAGTAGTCTAGAATGTTTTTGGTCATAGTTCTAAGTAATGGCAAACTGACTAAGTCTTGGTGACATGCTTGAGAGAACAGACTGTGGAAGAGAGCCACTGAAGAAGCTGATGGGTCATATAAAACTCTTTAGACTTTGGAACAGAGGCAGAAAACTGGGCTCTCCTGTTATACATTATAACAAGTGGGTACTACATACAGATTGATTCTATCAGCCCTTAAGGCATCCTGGTCAGGCTGAAAAGCCCATGTGAGCATTTCAGGCATGGAAAGCCACGACACTGTGGCAAAAAAAAATGTTCTACAAGAAGGATCTCTGCGAGACCCCAGCGGAAAGAAGTGGCCATCAAAGAAGGAAGTACTTTCCTCTGAAGGGAGGGGAGAACTTCCACTTTGCTTATGGCTTTGTCTGAATACTGACAGAGTTTTTAGGTTCAAAAGGCTTCCACAGCCTAGGCAGCTCATGTCAAGAGCCTTGAGTGGTCACTGATGTCGTACATAAGAGTGTTAATTGTTAAATTAACAACAAGAAGTCACTGTGCACTAACTTCCCATGCAGGACCTCTGTCCTCAATGAGTTGTATTATGAGAGTTCACTGTAAAACTAGTTCTCAGTTTTGTGTGTGTGTACACAAACTGTTGAAATCTTTACTTAGTATAGAGTTGGTCTTCTGTGTATAAAGTTAATTGAAAATGAATCTTAATGGAGACTGAGACTGGGAATGGGAGAGGGAGGAGGTGGAGGGGTGGGGGTGTGGGTGGGAAGCGGGTATGGTGGAAAGAATCACTATATTCCTAAAGTGGTACTTATGAAATTTGTATTCCTGAAATAAAAAGTTCATTTTGGAAAAAAAAATTGATTCTAAACCTCTGAAACGGAAATTAAAAACTCAATTTTGTTTATAACTGAGACAATACTTTCCATCTAAAGTTAATGGACAAGTGTTGCTACTTAACTTGATTCTTCTGAGTAGGGTACGATTGAACCACAGAGTTAGACAGCATGTACTCTGGAGACTTCACTGTGTGCCTTGCAAGTGGATAAAATAAAGTGTGGCTTTGTTTATTATTTTCACATTCAAAAGCAATAGAGTAGGTACAATTACTTTGGAAAACTATTTGGCTATATCCACCCAAATTAAATCTGTATATATCCAGAGACCTCACAATTCTATCCCTAGGTAAACTGCCAACAGAAATGTCAAAGACATGTACTAGAATGTTCCTAGCATACTAGCTATAAAAATCAAAATCTGGAAGCTGGGGCTGGTGCTATGGTATAGCAAGTAAAGCCGCTGCCCATAGTGCCAGCATCCTTTATGGGCACCAATTTGAGTTCCGGCTGCTCCACTTCCAATCCAGCTCTCTGCGATGGCCTGGGAAAGCAGTAGAAGATGGCCCAAGTCTTTGGGACCTTGCACCCACGTGGGAGACCTGGAAGAAGCTCCTGGCTCCTGGCTTTGGATCAGCCCAGCTCTGGCTGTTGTGGCCACTTGGGAAGTGAACCAGTGGATGGAAGACCTCTCTCTCTTTGCCTCTGCCTCTGCCTCTGCCTTTCTACCTTTCAAATGAATAATAAATGAATCTTAAAAAATTATCTGGAAGCTCCCCAAATGTCCGTAAGTAGAATGTCTCAATAGTTGTGGCTTAATCACACAATGAAATAACATAACCATGAAAATAAACTATCTACAACCACACACAACATGGATAAAACTAACACATAATATTGAATAGGAGAATTCAGATACAAGATAAACTAAAAAATAAGCATAATGAATCCATGCTTTCTGGGTTGCAAACAGTGGTCATCCTTGTGGAGGAAGTGTGACCTAAGTGACTGAAACGGAGCACAAGGGTAACGTTCTGCTTCATTATCCGGGTGCTGGCTTGTGACCATCTGAGCCGTGGACTTACATGAAATATATGTGCATTATACTCCAACAAAACATTAAAAAACACAGTATCTTCACCGACAACTACAAAACTAAAGCCTAGCGGCTTAGAATCTCCAACTTATTCAATGAGCTAACAGTAAAACTTAAAGGAAGTCAGTAGGTCAGAATTCCTGACCTGCAGGTTCCTGCCTATTGGATTAGATTGATTCTGATAGGACATTATCTTCAGATCGCAAAGATCTATAGAAATAAAATTGGTGTGTCTTTCTCTTGCTGATATTTTTCCCTTTTAAAATGTAATTACCTTCTACAGCTCTTTCCTCTATTATAGGACATGAACTGCTTCAGACATTGTCATTATCTTACACTCACCAGTGTGGTGAGTGTCTGGCATTTCTGTTTGTTACAGGAAAAAAACACCACCTGAAAATGCTCTGTGATTCTTGCATGAAAGCAAAACCAAGTATTACTTCTATATCCTGTGTAGTATTTGTATGAGTTTGCAGAATAAACTTCTTGACCTGAATGGATTTTTAAATAGAAAAATGGGAGCATCCTGGCTCAATAAACTTCTGTGTATTAAATTGGACACTTAGGAAGCAAACCTAGTGTTCTGCAGCTGGCTGTCCCAATTTAAAACATGTAACTTTTGCAACATTGTGGGAGAGGGAATGCTAGTAGTATCAGATGTCTGGAAGTAAATCCGAACTTTGTGACTTTTGGAAACACTGTTTTTGAGGTTGTTTCCCACCTACATACAACCATTTTTATAAACTGGTTAACCAGGAGTCCAGCTGCAGGAATGTTTGGATGTCTCCTTGTGGCAGGAATTCATCATAAACTTTGTCACTCCCCAAAGACCCTTTTATAGACTGTATGGACCAGTGATTTATGATAACTTAACAATAGCTAAAAATTCCTGATGAAACTAAAACTTTATAAAGCTACAGCAGGGAAAAACATGTTTGTCCAACTTCCCTGATGCCATATTAGGTATGACTGAGGCTACAAAAGTGAATGGATTGAGAAACGAGGTAGCCTGATATGCATCTTTCATGGGATGGCACAAGAATTCTCTTAATCAAAACAATAATGTGTCTGAAAATACACTGGACTCAACCAAGTGAGAAATCATTTAAATCATCCCATCTTACATGGAAATGAGTTTATATTCTTACATAGGATACTTAGCGAGGCTTCCTGTAACACAATGAGTCTAAGTGGGGATTTAATCTAAAAAGTATGGTGTAAAATCTTTTACATTGCCCTATACAATCTTATTTCTATAAACCTTTTATTTTGGTAAGTAACTTTTTAATGATCAACAATCAAATTTCTTCCTTACATTCACAATCTGCACTTTTACCATTCAGCAATTATTTTTTATAGCCTCCTTAAAGCAAGCAGGCCCAGCATTGCTGATACTGGTCTTTTCATCACCAGGTTCACTGCTGGCTGCCCGTCTGCACCCACTGGGCTTGAGACTCCTCTGCTCCTCTAGACTTGAACTTGAGTCTTTCTGTTAAATTATGTCCTCTACCCATTGTTATGTGAGTGAAGAGAGAAAGCAGGATGGAAGACAGTCATGAAAAGAAGATTTTTTAAAAAATAAAAAATGTCAGATAAATAACAGTACGTAATAAAGTAGGTAAATGATTATGTCATATGTTAATTGTAGAAGCCAATACTTTTATCCTGGAGAAAATGTTAAACTGAGGCTAGTTTCTTCCTGTCTTCTGGCATTTCTTGTCATTATTTATTAATGCATAATTAGAGAATAAAAATAATCCTAATGTTAGCTTGAGTCCAGTTTAAGTGGGAGGTAAATTGAATGCAACTTAAGACAAACATGGGGGAGAATGAAGAGGCAGCAAAGGAGGAGGAAGGAGAGGAATGCATGTCATGTCCAAAGGTAGAGATAACTTTGATATTCTAGTGTATCTACTGTGAGACAACGCTGTCATTCTCCAAACACAATGGTTAAGAATTATTCAGTTTTGTATTATTTGTCACCCAATTCTGCTTACCAGATAGGAGATGCAAGGTCCATTAGTTACAAAAAAGTGTTTTTTGGGCTGGCACTGTGGCGTAGTGGGTAAAGCCTGCACCTGCAGTGCCAGCATCCCATATGGGCACCAGTTTGAGTCCCAGCTGCTCCACTTCTTGGCCTGGGAAAGCAGTAGAAGATGGCCCAAGCCCTTGGGCCTCTGCACCCACATGGGAGACCCAGAAGAAGCTCCTGTCTCCTGGCTTTGGATTGGTGCAGCTCCGGCCATTGTGGCCAGTTGGGAAGTGAACCAGTAGATGAAAGACCTCTCTCTCTCTCTAACTCTGACTTTCAAATAAATATTTTTCAAAAAAAGTGTTTTTAAAATTTAAAGCATATTATAATATTAATACACAACATATTAATAAACAAATTAATACTCATAAAACTAGGGGAATTTTCCATCTACTTACCTCAGACATATCATGCACCAACAAGAGAGGAATGCTTATAGTTGTGATGTCATGGGTACAGCAAACTTTAAGTATATTTCGCAGTCCCATAATGGCTGGATCCCGAGCTGTGATATTTCCTGATTTTACATTGTCATCCACACAAAGATGAAAAGCAACATGGATTTCTGAGAGATTAGAATGCCGTGTAATGTAAAATTCTCCTGGGAACAACAAATACAGTCATGATTTTCAAAGGCACATCACACTCATCCGTGTTGAACCAGCAGAGATGTATCAGGAACCCACAGGGCGCTCAGGAAGCAACTGTGATTACTGCTCCTTCATTCTTGCAAAGAGGGTCATAAAGACAAGAAACAATAGACAATTTTTCAATGAGTTCATAAATTGGTCTGAAGTGACCACCAGGTAGCAAACAAATCAAAGGATCATGCATCATTTTTATTTTGATCTAAATGCTTCAGTGTGAAACTCAACATGCAAAACTCAAATAAGATTACCTGTTTCCTCAATGTCTTCCTCATTTCAATTTATAGGACCAACCTTTGTCTAGTTAGTTGCTCAGGACAGAAGTAGAGACTCTGGCCTTAATTCCTTTTTCCCCCTCAATGTACATTTCCCATCTACAATGCAATCCAGCATCATCGCCAACAAACAACCCCACCTGAGCACTCCACCTTCCCTGCTATCACCCTTGCTCACGCTACCATCATCTGTCAACATGCTCTTCCTTGAATTCTTTGCTCATTCTGAGCACCTACAAACCATTTCTTTTCTTTTTTTGAAAGGCAGAGTTACAGTGAGAGAGAGAGAGAGAAAGGTCTTCCTTTGCTGTTGGTTCACCTCCCAAGTGGCCGCTACGGCCGGCGCGCTGTGCCTATCTGAAGCCAGGAGCCGGGTATTCTTCCCAGTCTCCCATGTGGGTGCAGGGACCCATGTACTTGGGCCATCCTCCACTGCCCTCCCGGGCCACAGCAGAGAGCTGGACTGGAAGAGGAGCAACTGGGACAGAATCCGGCGCCCCAACTGGGACTAGAACCCGGGGTGCCGGTGCCGCAGGTGGAGGATTAAGCTAGTGAGCCGCGATGCTGGCACCAAACCATTTCTTTTTTATTTTTTTTATTTATTTTTTATTTTTTAAAAAATTTATTTATTTTTTGAAAGGTAATGTTACAGAGAGGGTGAACAAGAGAGACACATAGAGAGAGGTATCTTCCATATGCTGTTTCACTCCCCAAATGACCACAACAGCCAGGATAAGGCAAAGCTGAAGCCAGGAACCAGGAGCTTCATCGAGGTTTCCCACATGGGTTGTAGGGGTCCAAGTTCTTGTTCCATCTTCCACTGCTTCCTCAGACACATTAGCAGGGAGCTAGATTGGAAGTGGAGCAGCTGGGACTAGAACAGGCGCCCATATGGGATGGTGGTGTTGCAGGCAACGGTTAAACACACTGTGCCACAACATCAGCCCCCTGTCATTTCTATTTTTAATCATAAAAAAAAAATACTGCTGGGGCCAGTGCTGTGGCATAAAGGTTAAAACCACCGCCTGCAGTGCCGGCATCCCACATGGGCACCAGGTCCAAAGCCAGGAGCTAAGAGCTTTTTCTTTAAAAAAGAAACTGTTTCCTTACAGTTCTGAAGGCTGATAAGACCAAGTTCAAGATGCCTCATCCAGTGAGGCTTTCTCGCTGTGTCATAATATAGTAAAAGGCATCAAATGACCAAAGACACAGATAAGGCAAGTAGTCTCTTTTTTCTTCTCGGAAGTGTCACTCCCCCTCTTCGTGGAGGAACGACACAGGACCCTGCGCTGTTCTTTTGTCTGCTCGGCCCTTCCCGGGTTTGCTGCTGGTTCTTCCCGGGTTGGCTACCGACCCTTCCACCTCCGTGGAAGGGCGGTTCCCCCTGCCACTTTCCCCACTTCCGCGGGGCAAACCATTTTTTACCTGTAGCCAAAATGATTTCAATATAAATCAGACTCTATAACTCTCAGACTTAAAAGCATCCAACAGGCTCACATCAGATGGAGGAAAAAGCCCTAGCTCTGGGGCCGGCATGATGGCATAGTGAGTTAAGTGTCCATATGGGTGCCGGTTCACGTCCTAGCTGCTGCACTTTCGATCCGGCTCCCTGATAACATGTCTGGGAAGGCAGCAGAAGATGGCCTAAGTACTTGGGTTCCTGTCACCCACATGGGACACCCAGATGAAGCTCCTGGCTCCTGATCTGGTCTAGCCCTGGCTGCTGCAGCCATTTGGGGAGTGAACCAGCGTTTAGAAGATCTCATTCTTCTATTCCCTCTCTCTCTCTAACTCTGCCTTTCAAATAAATAAATAAATCTAAAAAAAAAAAAAAGGAAAAAGTCCAAACTATGTGCTGTGTCTAATTAGTTTTTTTTCTCACCCCAGTTCTTCAAATATGCAGATCTTGTGCCTAAGTCAGGGGTGCTGCCTGGAAGGGTTTTTCCAATATTCTCACAGGGCTGATTTCTTCCTATCAATCATCTTAGATCGAATGCCACTTCCTCAGAAAGCTCTTCCTTGACTATCTTGTGTGAGTTACAACTTTCCCAGGGCCGCTGTGTGGCTTGTGGAGCCAGTATCCCATATGGGCACCAGTTCTAGTCTCAGCTGCTCCACTTCGCATCCAGCTCCCTGTTGGTGTGCCTGGGAAGGCAAGAGAATATGGCCCAAGTGCTTGGGCCCCTGTACCCACATGGGAGATCCAGAGGAAGCTCTTGGCTCCTCCCTTCAGGCTGGCCCAGCCCTGGCCACTGAAGCCGTTAGCAGAGTGAACCAGCAGACGGAAGGTACTGTTCTCTCTCTGTAACTCTGCCTTTCAAATAAATAAATAAATAATTTTTTAAAGAGACTTCCCCACCCTCATCACTCTCTTTCATATTATTCTTATTTTCTTCTTAGCACTGAAATTGATTTGTATGTAGATTGCTTTAAAAAATGACTGTTCCATGACAAGTGGGGTTTTGTCTATGATGTTTGCTGTTATATCTCCAGCATATAGAAGGTATTCAATGTAAGTATTAGTTGAATGAATGAATGTTTGAGACTGAATGCTAGGACAGTATTCTCACATCTTAAACTCCTTGCTTCCTACACCAATTCCTTTTTTCAGGTAGCCCCATTAGCCAAGAAAAAATCTCATCAGCTTTTATTTTCTGTGGTTTCTGTCAATACAAATAAAACATATAAAGAGTATGTTTTTACAAATACACATGCTTGAAAAAACAAAAAAACACATGCTCACTGGAAATTCTGCTATGTCCTTCTAGGGAAGGTTGGCTCACTTCTACAACCCTTGCCCCTACACATTCTGCTTGACCTTGCTGCAAAGGCATGATTGTAGGATTTCAGAAGTCCACAGAATGTTTACAAGTACTTAATAGATTTTTAGCACCATGTTTAACATTTCCAGCTTACCAGTGCACATAAATTATACTCGTAGTTGCCTCTAATAGGCCCCAGACAAAGGCTTTCTAAAAAAAAAAAAAAAAAAAAAAAAATCTTGGGGGCCGGCACTGTGGCGCAGCAGGTTAATGCCCTGGCCTGAAGTGCCGGCATTCCATATGGGCGTCGGTTCTAGTCCCGGTGGCTCCACTTCTGATCCAGCTTTCTGCTATGGCCTGGGAAAGCAGTGAGAATGGTCCAAGTCCTTGGGTCCCTGCACCCACATGGGAGACCTGGAAGAAGCTCCTGGCTTCGGATTGGTGCAGCTCTGACCATTGTGGCCATCTGGGGAGTGAGCCATCAGATGGAAGACCTCTGTCTCTCTCTGCCTCTCCTCTCACTGTGTAACTCTGACTTTCAAATAAATAAATAAATCTTTAAAGAAAAAAAATCTTAAAAAAGATAAAGGAACTAGACAAACAGAAAAAGAAATTAAAGAAGGAGCAGTGAATGAGACACCAAAATTTTGCCAGTGAAAATTTCCACGGAAGGCAATAAAAGTCACAGGCTGCTTCTCAGAAACCGGGATCGCATGAGACAAAATCCTTCTGGGCCCATGAAGTGTATTAACCTCCTAAACTCCTACTGATAACTCACATGGTGGAAGTCATTGCATTAAGCACGGGCTATGGTCCAATGGTGAGGCAAGATGACTTAGTGCACAAGTCAGGTGCTCCTAATCCTCAAGCTGGCACTGCTTTGTTTGACCTTAAATGACTTGTCTCTTGGCCTCATCTTACCCATTAATAAAATGGGGGTCATGCAGGTGGCAGTAGTAATCAAATTCATACGACACAGTACAAAAAGGAATATATTGGGTATTAAGAAGCACTGGCCTCTAGCACTTACTGGCTGAATGATCTTGGGCAAATCAATTCAACTTACTGATTTTCTGTTACTTTGTGCATGAGATGTGAAAAATATGCCTGACTGCTTTCCTTATAAGGTTATCTTGAGAATTAGATGACATAAATTGTAAATACTTAGATAATGACAGAGTAAGCTACTGTTGGCTTAACACTGTGTAGACAGAACTTTTTCTTACAATTTTTAATGTAATAAAATATAAATAATTTGTGTAAATAATGTGTGATTTAGATCTCTTTACATCTCTTTGAAATCCTAGTTGTGTAGACATTCTTTAAGTGGAGATTCACATGTTATTATAAAGTCTAACTGAATAATTTAATACTCCTTTTCTAAGTTAGTTTTATGACACATCTTCCTGTTTGGGAGTAGTAATGGGATACTAACCTATAGACTTTCCCCCAAAAAAGAATAAGGAAGGAAACACAGTAATAAAGAATTAAGTTTTTAAAAACCTAGTTATCAGGATCTCCAGAATAGTAATAAGATTGGCACATTTTAAGAAAGCCACAAAATATGGATGATTTAAATTATGGATCTATGAAGAGAAACACAATAAATCCTTCCCTGAAGGTATTTTTAGATGGAGAGGAGGATGGTTTCCTGTTCCACAAAGTGGAGGAAACAGCATGTGGTGATTCTAACATTATCCACTAAGGTAGGCTATCTGAAGGTGGGAGGAAATTCGGAGGCTGATGACCACAGGCTAACTGGCTATGACTGACAAGATGAATACCAGAAATGGGCATAATACTCACTTAGATGACATATAATGCGACCTACATGTCAAAGAGTAGGGGAGGAAATGTGAGGGGAGTACCTTAAAGGAGAATAGAAAACATTCAAAAGATGACTATTTCTGAAACTGTCAAATTTGCCATTCACTTTAAGAGACTTCCCACTTGTATAGCAAACAAATAGGCCTTCCTTGGTATGTCCTCTTATACAGACACAATTAAGGGTCATCAGAGTGACTTAAATCAGAAAGAGGGTTAATGGACTGAAGTGCTAATTGTTAAAAAAGAAATATCCAAGAATCAATGAAATGGAAAGCAGGAAACAGAAGTAAGACCTTAGATGAGACGGTCCAAGTTCTTCCTACAAGTTCGACAATTTGTATCTCTATGTGCCACTGTTTATATTTCAAAGTAAAAATTATTTCTGATTTATTCCACAGAAACTAAGAAGCAATGTATAAAAGAAAATCTGAAATAGCAAAATAACGATGACATTTATGCAACTTTTATTTTTGCAATTAAACATTTCTTTTTGTACAGATCTAAGAAAAAGTGTTAGTATAAGAATTAAAAAGATTTACAATGGAGAACATTTGTGAAAGTGTATCATGGAAAGTCAGATGTTATTTTAAGTGACTGTTGACATTTTATAATGCATACCATAAGAATTTATGTTTTCAATCTAAGATTTTAGTGTATGTGATTATAAGAATACAATCTTTAAAATAAATAACACTTACCAGGTAAAATATTTAAGTAGTTTCTCTCAGCATTCTTAGTTTTATCGTCACATCCTCCATTTTGGTTCCCAGAATCTATTCATAAGAATGTAGTATGAAAGAAGACAACAATAGATGAGAACACATTACCACTCCCATTTCCAAAACAATCACGATGACAGCAAGAATTTCCAAAGGGACTCTGTGTGTCAGACACTGGGCTAGATGCTTTACATAGATGGTCCAGTATTTTATTCTTTTTTTTTTTTAAAGATTTATTTATTTAATTTGAAAGGCAAAGTTACAGAGAAGAAGAGGCACAGGTAGAGAAAGAGTTCTTCCATCTGCTGGTTCACTCTCCAGATGGCCACAACAGCCAGAGCTGGGCCAATCCGAAGCCAGGAGCCAGGAGTTTCTTCCAGGTCTCCCACATGGGTGCAGGGGCTCAAGGACTTGGGCCATCCTCCATTGCTTTCCCAGGCTACAGCAGAGAGCTGGATCAAAAGTGGAACAGCCAGGACTTGAACTGGTGCCCACGTGAGATGCTAGCACTGCAGTCGGCGACGTCATCCACTATACCACAGTGCTGGCCCTCAAAGTATTTTATTCTTACAACAGCCCTATAACTGGAACTTTGTGAGTTAGGTACTATTATTACCTTCATTTTTATAAACAAGGAACAGAGGCTTAGATAGGTTAATAACTTAATCTGGGATGCAAAGGTAAGTGGTAGAAGCAGATTTTGAACCCATACACAGAGATTCTAAATCCTATGGCCTTCACCACATGCCAGTACTCTACTTTTCATCTGAGAGGATCAGGGTACTAAGCTAACTACACATAAAATAACTTCATTAGATAGTTGTAACGTGGCCATCTCTATTTTTAGAATCTGAGTCACTGTTGTTGATAATAACTTGTTCAGGACTACAAATAAATGGTTAGTAAGCACCAGGAATTGCTTTACAGTCAGCCCATTCCTGAAATTTATTTCTTATCTGACACTATATATGCATATAATTAATTCCAGGGGTGAGACTCTGTTTCAAACAGAAAATTTTTTCAGATATTCAATAGTTTTTCTTATTTTTTCTTTCATTTTTAAAGTCATTATATTTCCTAGAAGGATAAATACTGGTAAAATAAGCATAACTGAACATACATTATTAAGGCAATTTGTATGTATGCAAATTACTTTACATACATACAAACATATACTTTTAATATAAGACACATTTTAATTTTAGAAGAATACCATCAGAACTCACAACTGCAAAATGAATATTAGCTTTCAAAGTAGCTATTTTTAATTATGTATTTATTTAAAAGGCAGAGAGAAAGATTGATTGATCAATCTTTCATCCACTGGTTCCCTCTCGAAATGCCCAAAACAGCCAGGACTGCGCTAGGCCAAAGCCAGAAGCCAGGAACTCCATCCTGGTCTTCCACATGAGTGGCAGGAACCCGACTACTTGGGCCACCTTCCCCTGCCACCAGGTGCAAATCAGAAGCTGGACCCGAAGTGGAGGTGGGTGGGACTCAATCCCAGGCACGCTGACAAGGGAATGCTGGTGTTGCAAGCAAATTAAACTACTAACCACAATGCCTGCCTCTAGAGTAGTGAGCTTTAGGAGGCCATATACTTACTCCAGCTGAATTACAACTATTTAGAAATCCATTTTGGAATGGCCTTCAGCATCAGAAAATCACACGAAAGCAGTCAGAACTTAAAATAAGTAAACTGCAAATACCAAAGTAGAGTTTCCAAAATGATCTGAATAAAAGGTAACCATATTTTCATCTAATGATTACTTTGATGAACTGATTCCTAACTTCCTATCTTTTAAACACATATATTTTATAAACCAAGAGACCGAGATACAGGCACAGAGAGGCAGATGGCTGAGTTGCTCGAGTCCTGATGTAATGTAATATTTATTTCTAATACAGAGTCATATAATAGGTTTTGCATAAGTGATCATAGCACAGATTATAAATAAGGACTCTAATTTTGTTCAGAGGGTGTCTGAACAAAGAGGAACCCTGCTGCGATGGATGTTAGGGCACTATGGGTTTTAAGTTGTTGCTTGGGAAGCCCTCATCCCACACTGGAGCGCATGTTCTGAGTCCTGGCTACTCTGTTTCTGGTCTAGTTTCTTGCTAATGCACCTGAAAAGGGAACTGATGATGGTCCAAGTACTTGGGTCCCGGCCATCTAAATCTAAGTGGGAGGACTGGGAGAAGTTATGGGCTCCTGTTACAGGCATCAGGGAACCAGAAGATAAAAGATTTGTCTCGAGCTCTCCTTCCCTCTTCTCTTCTGTCACTCTGCCTTTCAAATAAGTAAATAAAATAAATCTTAAAAAAAAGAATTTCTGCTAAATAATAAATAAGAGTAGTTCATAGTCCATTTCCCTTTCATATCTTAACGGTAATAGCTTGTTTGATAATACTAAGAAGATGGCTATCTTTTTTACTTTTTTTCAAAAAAGTATATAAAGGTGCTAATATAACAACCACAGTAAGAAAAATAATGGAATATCTTAGAGAAAAACAGGTGCTTATATATTAGGATGTAAACACATACAACAATTATGTATGCACGAATAGAGAAGAAAAAGATGGAGAAAGTGTTTTCACAAAGTTCTTCTATAACAACATACGGGTTCCTTTAAGAAAGTTGTCTTTCATAAACCTACTTGCTTCACTGACTCACTTAAACACAAAGTAGCTGCTTGAACAAGAACAAAATAATACTATGTTATACACGTACTGCCTCAATAGTATATGTTTAAAAACTTTCCTGGCATTTATTGTATACTTTCTATCTCCCTTAAATATACTTACAATCTTCCCCCTCCCGCATGTATTATGATCTCAATCTTTATGCTTTTAGTCTCTACTAAGAATAATATTGAGGGGCCACCGCTGTGGCATAGCTGGTAAAGCCACTGCCTGCAGCGCTGGCATCCAGCATCCCATATGAGCACCGGTTAGAGTCCTGGCTGCTCCACTTCGACCCAGCTCTCTGCTGTGGCCTGGGAAAGCAGTGGAAGATGGCCCAAGTCCTTGGGCCCCTGCACCTATGTGGGAGACCTGGAAGAAGCTCCTAGCTCCTGGCTTTGGATTGGCACAGTTCCAGATGTTGCGGCCATCTGGTGCGTGAACAAGTGGATGGAAGACCTCTCTCTCTCTCTCTCTCTCTCTCTCTCTGCCTCAGACTCTCTGTAACTCTGCCTTTCAAATAAAAAAGAAATCTTTAGAATAATATTGAAATGCTTCTGATCACATTACTAGTTTTAATGACATGGAAGAAGATGGCAAAATAAGAGGCACACTGGAATTTTCTGAAAGGGTTTTTGTTAGGATATACTTGTTTATTGGTTTTTCTGATATTTGGCTTGGCTTTGACACTTAAAATGCAAATGACCATGGCAAAGCCACATTTATCTTTTGGGAGATTAAAGCTGGTGGGGTCGTTAGGAGAGCAGTTGCTAACACTGTCAAAGTTATCAGTGCAGTCCTTTAACCCAGGGACTTCTCCTCAAGGATCTGTTCCACAGATTGGCTTATTGCTCACCCAAGGATTCATGTGCAAGATTACCCATGCACTGCTACATAAAATAATAAAAAATTAGGAGTAGATCAAATGTTTATTAAGAGGGGACTGATTAATAATAGGATATTCCATAATGGATTACTATGCAACAGCAAAAAGGTCTAAGGATGGTCTTTATGAACTGATATGGAATGAGCTCTGGGGTACATTATTCAGTGAAAAAAGCAGGACAGAGAATAGTACATATGAAAGCTCACATTTGTGAAAAAGGGAAATAAATCTACACCTACATATGCTTACATAAATAGAAACATAAACATGTATCCGGAAGGCACATATGAGACAGCACTGGCTGCCTCTGGAGAGAGAAACTGGCTGGCTGGGGACAGACCTAGGGAGACTCACTGTGTGCTCTTTTGTACAGCTTGAATCATGAATTTTGAGAATGGTTTACCTATTTAAGAAACTTTTTAAAGACACAGAAAACAGAAAATATTGTTTTTATTTTGCTTTGTTTTTAAGATTTATTTACCTACTTGAAAGTAAAGATAGACAGGGAGAGTGAGAGAAAAAGAGATCCTGAATCAAATGGCCACAATGGCTGGGCTGGTCCAGGTTGAAACTAGGAGGCTGGATCCCCATCTGGGTTTCCCACATGGCTAGCAGGGGCTCAACTTGGGCAATCTTCTGCTGCCTTCCCAGGTGCATTAGCAGGGAGCGGGATTTGAAGTGATCCAGAGCTCCAATATGGGATGCCAGCATTGCAGGTGTCAGCTTAGCTCAGTGTGCCACAATGCCAATCCTAGAAAACATTTGTAAAAGTCTATGGAATAGGGGCCGGCACTGTGGCATAGCAGGTAAAGCCACTGCCTGCAGTGCCAGCATCCTATTTGGACACCAATTCGAGTCCCGGCTGCTCCACTTCCGATCCAGCTCCCTGCTATAATGTGCCTGGGAAAGCAGCAGAGGATGGCCCAAGTGCTTGGGCCCCTGCATCCACATGGGAGACCTGGAGGAAGTTCCTAGCTCCTGGCTTTGGATCAGCCCAGCTCCAGCCACTGCAGCCATTTGGGGAGTGAATCAGTGGATGGAAGACCTTTCTCTGTCTCTACCTCTCTCTGTAACTCTGCCTTTCAAATAAATAAAATAAATCTTTAAAACAAAACCAAACAATTGATTTTGAGATAATACAACATCTTCTTTGAAACACTGGAGTTGCATAAAAGAAAAAAAAGGTATTCAAAGTACAGGAAGCAGATTTAAAGGTCTGAGAAGCCCAAAAGTTAAAACTTCCCATATTTTATCTCCTGAACACCACTACAAAGTTTTTATTTAAAAATATATACTGTGCATTCATTCAAGCCAGGCAAGAGCATGTATTATGATTTTAGTCTGTGATATTACATGAAATGTCAAGGGCCAGCATTATGGCACAGTGGGTTAAATCACCATGTGTGACACTGTCTGGCATCCCATATCAGAATGCTGGTTCTAGTACCAGCTGCTTCGCTTCCAGTGCACTACCCTGCTAATGTGCCTGGGAAGTCAGCAGAGGATGGCCTAAGTGCTTGGGTCCTGGCCGTCCATGATGGAGACCCAGATAGAGTTTTGGGCTCCTGGCTGTAGCCTGGCCCAGCCCTAGCTATTGTAGCCATTTGGAGAGTCAATCAAGTCTGTTCCTCCAGCTCCCTCTGTGGCTCTGGCTTTCAAATAAATAAATCTTTAAAAAATATATGAAGTGTCAGAAAAATACTGAAACATTTTAAAAGAATATAACCCTGATATTCAGCTCATAACTAAAACAACTTACAGTAACAATTTAATTGCTTTTTAAGCTTTCATTTTCAATTTAAGAAAATCTGAATTTGAGTTTTTTTTAAATCTAAGTCTTTTCCTTTAACTCTCTTTCCATGTGTAGATTCAAAGTTTTTTTTTTTGTTTTTTTTTGTTTTTTTTTTTTTTTTTTGACAGGCAGAGTGGATAGTGAGAGAGAGAGACACAGAGAGAAAGGTCTTCCTTTTGCCATTGGTTCACCCTCCAATGGCCGCCACGGCTGGCGCACCACGCTGATCCGAAGGCAGGAGCCAGGTGCTTCTCCTGGTCTCCCATGGGGTGCAGGGCCCAAGCACTTGGGCCATCCTCCACTGCCTTCCCGGGCCACAGCAGAGAGCTGGCCTGGAAGAGGGGCAACCGGGAAAGAATCCGGTGCCCCGACCGGGACTAGAACCCGGTGTGCCGACGCTGCTAGGTGGAGGATTAGCCTAGTGAGCCGCGGCGCCGGCCAGATTCAAAGTTTTTTTTTTTTTTGACAGGCAGAGTGGACAGTGAGAGAGAGAGACAGAGAGAAAGGTCTTCCTTTTGCCGTTGGTTCACCCTCCAATGGCCGCCGCGGCCGGCGCGCTGCGGCCGGCGCACCGCGCTGATCCGATGGCAGGAGCCAGGAGCCAGGTGCTTTTCCTGGTCTCCCATGGGGTGCAGGGCCCAAGCACCTGGGCCATCCTCCACTGCACTCCCGGGCCACAGCAGAGGGCTGGCCTGGAAGAGGGGCAACCGGGACAGAATCCGGTGCCCCAACCGGGACTAGAACCCGGTGTGCCGGCGCCGCTAGGCGGAGGATTAGCCTAGTGAGCCGCGGCGCCGGCCCAGATTCAAAGTTTTTGAAGAAAGATGCCAAGAACTGTCTCTACATTTTAAAACCATTTCACAGTATATCCATTTCTAAATAAACAAACAAGTAAGTAAATAAAACTGTCTTGATCCAGCCATCCCATCTTTATGTATAATATTCAAAGGAACTGAAATTAGTATCTTGAAGAGTATCTTCATTTCACCATTCATAATAGCCAAGATATGAAAACAATGTAAGTGTTCATCAATGGATGACTGGATAAAGAAAATAAATTTTTTTCAACTCACAGATAGAATTTCTTGTGAGGAACACTTGGGGTCCCAAGTACTTCAGATAAGGAATGCTCAATGTGTAATTAGCAAGATGTTATATTGTGAATAAACATATAAAAAGCAGTCATTCAAAGACATAGCGATTAAAAAAAACCAACTCATGTAACTGACTTTATACTACTCAAGTCAAGCAAAGATGGAACACAGAAAGAGCATGTATTTAACGCTGCTTTTTACAATTTGGATCAAAAGATCACCAACCTTCCACAGAGTGCCTGTTTCTACTGTAACTACAGTACTGAAATTTTAAAATAATTTTCACTGAGAATCTTGACAAAAATTATCCCAAAAAAAGAAAATTAAGGACAGGATTCAACCTTATGACGATTTTAAGTTTTGTTCTTAATTTCCTTCTTCCAATTTCTGGAAATAAAATATGATTTTAATGACCCATAAGCCATTCACTCTAGTGATTATGGACAGAATATACTAAGAGTGAAATATTTTATAAACTGGAGTTTTACTGACCATGTGATTCTTTCAGCTTACTCCTGCGCTGGGTTCTGGCATAAAGGACCACCTGTTGGACAACTTCCAGTTGCTCTTCAATCCGGGGGAAATGGAAGTCAGTACACTCTTGGCAAACTGTGGCAAAATCTAAGGAACCCAGAACATTTACAAACTTATAAGTGTGAACTATCAAACATGTAGTTTTTTCTTACAAACAGAGATATAGGAAAAATAGAAAATAAAACTCAAAGTATGATTTCTTACATCTATCCTTTCAATAGTAATGCTTTAAGTTAGGGCATTGTAATTTTGCTTTTATCAGAAACTTAACCTCTCAACTACTCAAGAGTAAACAATTAATAGACAATACATTTTAATGCAAGGTCAATATAATCCAAATGTTTAAATAACAGATACTTTGATCATAATATATCCCTAAAAGTGCTACAACATACAAGAAGGCAAGTAAATTCTACTCAGGCTTTTTTCAAAGACAGGTTTAATTTCAATACCTTAGATATAATAAAAAATGTATAAATAATCATAAAAGTGCTTCACTAAGAGGGAAGGCAGAATTTTGCCTAGCATATTTAAGAGGTAGTTTATTAGAAAAAAAAAGAAAAATGCATGAACTAAAATTCACTGAGCCAGAATCTGCTTCTAAATTGAAAAGTATATTTATATGTTGATTACTTTTTCCTTATACTGACATAAGAACCTTATAGAATGGATTTTGTAATACAACAGAAATTTAAGAAAAATTAAATATTATGAAACACACTAAAAATGCTTAAGTATGAAATAGCTATGGCGGATACAACTATTTTTGGTCTACTTGAATACTTGGAGTGATTAAATTTTTTTCAGTTTTTCCATACTTCTTTTATTTGTAAGAATGGCATCAGGAGGATAAATTTTATTTTATTTTATTTTATTTTATTTTATTTTTTTAATTTTTTTGACAGGCAGGAGTGGACAGTGAGAGAGAGAGACAGAGAGAAAGGTCTTCCTTTGCCATTGGTTCACCCTCCAATGGCCGCCACGGCTGGCGCACCACGCTGATCCGAAGGCAGGAGCCAGGTGCTTCTCCTGGTCTCCCATGGGGTGCAGGGTCCAAGCACTTGGGCCATCCTCCACTGCTTTCCCGGGCCACAGCAGAGAGCAGGCCTGGAAGAGGGGCAACCGGGACAGAATCCGGCGCCCCGACCGGGACTAGAACCCGGTGTGCTGGCGCCGCAAGGAGGGGGATTAACCCTAGTGAGCCCGGGCCGCCGCCCCGCAAAAAATTTAGGGAAAAAAATCATTAATAATGTGGGGGTTCTTGCTGGGGGCCCCCGGGGGTAAAAAACAGGGGCCTGCAGCTCTGGCATCCCATATGGGCACCAGTTCGAGTCTCAGTTGCTCTACTTTGGATCTAGCTTCCTGCTAATGACCTGGGGAAGCAGCAGAGGATGGCCCAAGTATTTGGGCTCCTGTACCCACGTGAGACCTGGATGAAGCTCCTGGCTCCTGGCTTAGGCCTGTCTCAGCCCTGGTTGTTGCAGTGATTTGGGGAGTAAACCAGTGGATGGAAGATTTCTATCTGTCTCTCTTTCTCTCTCTGTAACTCTACCTCTAATAGATACATAAATATTTAAAAAAAATACATATAATGTTAACTTACCTCTTTTAATACCACTGTAAGAATTAATTCGATTATCTACTAGTAAAACCAGGCCACAAAGAGATGTGGAATAAAGTGATAGCGCTGTCTGAAGCCGATGGAGTTTCACACCACTTCGATGATTTCTTTTATGTTTACAGAAGTCCAGCATATCTGCTCTGAGCAATCTCAAATTATGCATGGTCTTCAGCTGGGCTCCTGGGGGTAAGCAACAGTCCCAGAAAGATACTTAAACTTCTGCAAAAATTCAGTACAATAGCATGCAAGTCTATGGCAAGAACACAGATAAATCTGTGCTACACATAATAATTAAAGATCGGCCTTATAACTTCCCATTTTAATAGCAATTATCAATTTATCTATCTACAAAAAAAGATATGTAAACTAAAATGGGGAACTTAAAGCCAACAAACTATAGGCTTTGTTGGAACAAAAGGTAAAATGACATGGGTACACTCAGATGCTAGGGATTTTTCCATTATAACATAAATCAGAAGATTTTACCATAAATTAAAACTTTAAAAAATGAATACACTTACCTAAATGAATGGTGAAACTTTCTTCTAGTTTTCTTTGTTCCTCATAAATCCTTCCAATTGTTTCTGCTGATTCTCTGAACTGACTTGGCTGAACTTTAATTTCTTCACTGGAATTAATGAAATTATTGATATGCTTTGTTTGCATGTTTGTGAAAAACTTTTCTTGAAGGAAAGCAAGATTTTTAGTAAAATGAGAGAAAAATGAAGTTTGAAAGTAGTACTTAATAGATTCCTAAACTTATCCTTAATCCATGGTGACAAGTAAGACTATAAGTAACAAGATTCTAAAATTCCTACTCGTTCTTTCAGTTCCCCACAGTAGATAATGCAGAGTATTCGTTTTAGTAGTTACATTATAAATCATTAGATTACTATATAATATGTTTAGTGGCCTAAGAGAATGATTATATAAAATGACTAACATATTACTTTAAAATCAGTTATATGTGCTATAAAATATGTAATATATAACTATACCAGGGCTAGCTCTAGGCAAAATCAGAAAAGAAGTGAAATTATAACAAGGAGAATTTAGGCTGGCGCCGCGGCTCACTAGGCTAATCCTCCACCTTGTGGCACTGGCACACCAGGTTCTAGTCCCGGTCGGGGCGCCAGATTCTGTCCCGGTTGCCCTTCTTCCAGGCCAGCTCTCTGCTGTGGCCAGGGAGTGCAGTAGAGGATGGCCCAAGTGCTTGGGCCCTGCACCCCATGGGAGACCCGGATAAGCACCTGGCTCCTGCCTTCGGATCAGCGCAGGGTGCCGGCCGCAGTGCGCCAGCCGTGGCGGCCATTGGAGGGTGAACCAATGGCAAAGGAAGACCTTTCTCTCTGTCTCTCTCTCTCACTGTCCACTCTGCCTGTCCAAAAAAAAAAAAAAAAAAAAAAAAAAAAAAATTAAAAAAAAGGAGAATTTAAAAAGTTAAATAAAATAAATGGAAAAAAAGGATGATTTCTATTTTGATGTATATGCATCCTCTATTTTTACCACTCCCTCCTCCCTTTTTTTTTTTTTTTTTTACCACTAACACTCTCCTCCCACTAAATGACTTCTCAGTTTATTCTGCTCTTTATATTTCCTGTAAAGGTCTCCCCAGAGGAGTCAAAACCATACAACTATTCAATTCAGATTTCATGGTATGCTGAAGATAATAAACTGTAACAGTCATCCATTCCACTGACTACATTTTGGAGAGGTGAATCCAAACAGCCTCTTTAGTTTCACTAACTGGCTTCATTAGTGATATGATAAATTTAAACTTAAAAATAAATTTATATTAATAAAACATCCTCATGTTAGGATGTAGTCAGCCTCAGGAGAATACTGTTCCCACATAACAAAAAGAAAAAGCCAGATAATTACTAATTCAGGATTTTTCTGGAGCCCAAAAGAGGTTTGAGGTAATAAAGGCAACAGAGTAAATGGAATTCCAATGGGGACACCCCCCCTCCAAGAACGGATAGGACCCACAAAGTTTCATCTCTGTCATAGCGTGGTTGAAACAGGTTGCTGTTGTACAAGGGGATAAGAAGAAATGTTAACATTTTAATGGATTCTTAAAGGCCAAACATGGACTAGTCTGTCAATTTAGAGTAGTTAGTATCACAGATGCATCACTGGCAAAATCTTTTCTGGTGGCATCCACCAGGTGTTTCCAAGAAAAGATTTGTGAAGAAGGCAAGAGAGTTCTCTTGGGGCCACAGGCAGAACTGCTGTGTATGCCTCATATTTGGGGCCTAGATGTGGCTTGCCCAAGACAACAGAGCTGCACGATAGCTAGACAATGTGACCCGTCTAAAACCAAGTAACAAGCAGTCGTTACCGGGAGGATGAGAAACAGCAGAGAAGGAGACTCCATCTGCAGCAGGCATGCCAAGGCTACTGGAAACTGCAGATGGAGAAGAGTGACAGAGAAAACCCTCTGGAAACCCACATCTCACTCTAAGTACCAAGGAGCATCAGAGAGTAGATAATGAAGCCCGAGGTATCCTGAAGGTATGGATAGACATACCAAAACCAAGTTCAGCTCAAGTGCTGCAAAAATCTGTACAACTGTCACATTACTGGCCTATTCCTCTCTGGATACAAATAACATCTCAGACTCTTCTAATACCACAATATCCAGAACTTAGTTAAAAACAGAAGGAAGAAGGAAGTTGGAGAAAAAAAGGAGAGAGGGAAGAAACAGGAAAAGAGAGAAGGAAGAAAGGAAGGAGGGAAGGAAGGAAGGACGGACAAAGAAGGACAAGAGGGGAAGAGATATTCGAAAAGGAAAAAAACCTGACAAGATCAAGAGATAAGGTAGTCAAGAGAAAGAGACTTTAAGGTGACTGATGTGGACTTCAAGAAACGGACTTCCAAACAGCTATTAAAATGCTGAAAGATCTAGTGGAAAAGGCAAGCAACTCTGCTGCTGATCTGGCTCCTTGCTAATGCTCCTGAGAAGCAGTAGGTGATGGCCCAAGTTCTTGGGTACCTGAAACCCATGTGAGACATTTGATGGAGTTCCTGGCTTCCAGCTTCAGTCTGGTCCAGTCCCAGTGGTTGTAGGTATTTGGGGAGTGAACTAGTGGATGAAAGATCTCCCTCCCTCCCCTTCTCTCTCTCCCTCTATCATTCTTTCAAAAAAAAAAAAAAAAAAGACAAATAAGTAAATCTATCTTACAACAAGTGAACCCCAAGATAAACTAGGGACTTCAGATGGTTATGATTACCAGCGCCCATATAGGATGAACTGTGGTGTAGCAGGGTAAGCGGCCGTCTGCAGCACTGCCATCCAATATGGGTACCGGTTTGAGTCCTGGCTACTCCATTTCTGATCCAGCTTCCTGCTAATGTGCCTGGGAAATCAGTGGAAGATGGTCCAAGTGTTTGGGCCCCTGCACCCACATGGGAGACCTGGATGAAGCTCTTGGCTCCTGGCTTTGGCCTGGCCCAGCCCCAGTTGTTGTAGTCATTTGGGGAGTGAACCAGCATATAGAAAACCTCTCTCTCTTTCTTTCCTCTCTAACTCTGCCTTTCAAATAAATAAAATAAATCTTAAAAAAAGAAATAAAAAACACATGTCTATATATAAAGGCCTCTACATGAATGTTTATAACAGCTTATTTTTTTTATAATTACCCAAATCTAGAAATAGCTCAACTGTCCATCACCAAGTCAATAGACAGACAAAGGTGTAACAGAGTAGTAAAAAGGAAAGAACCACTGACACATGGAACATCATCAACTGAATCTCAAAAGTACCATGCCAAGCTAAATAAGCAGATGCAAACTGCTAGAGCCAGTTTCACTCCATTTATATAATATTTTGAGGAAAGAAAACTTCAGGGACAGAAATTTGACAGGTTGACAGGGGCTGGGCAAGGCAAAAGTGGATTGACTGTGGAATATAAAAAAGAAATGCTGAATCTTGATTGTGGTGATAATTTGTAACCAAGTTTGTCAAAATTCATCAAGCAATATAACTAAGGCATATTTTGCATAATATAGTTTGTCCTGCAATATATCTGACTTTAAAAAAGACAAAGCAAAAAACAAACCAATAAAAACAAAATGTCTGTTATCAGTCTCATATGGGGTTTTGTATACAGCCGTGCTGAACATAGGCTTCCACTGCTCATGGAAAACACATCAAAATGGAAAGCAAAAAAAGTCACTGCAAAACATTCATTCATAATAATATTTGTTTTTTAAAAGAAGTAGCCACTTCTTTGGAATAACTTTCTAAAACTATAGTAGCAAAGTGAGAGATAACTTTTGTAAAAGGGGCTTTCTCAGCTTCCTTAAGTCAGTGACTTTCTTTTTTGACTGCTACATACAGCATATTCTTTACATTCTGGCTCAATACACACATTCATTTATAGAAAGATTCATGCATGATGCAGTCTAGTATTGTTTTATCCTGTCCTGTCCTATCCTATCCTATCCTATCCTATCCTATCCTATCCTATCCTATCCTATCCTATCATTTTATTGTTCTTTCTAAAGATTGGTTGTAGAGTAAAGGATCTAGAATGGTCCCTAGCATGCTGCAAACAACAGTTTGTAGAAAATACTAAGGCAGGGGCTGGCACTGTGTCGCAGCAAGTTAAAGCCCTGGCCTAAAGTGCCGGCATCCCATATGGCTGCCGGTTCTAGTCCCAGCTGCTCCTCTTCCGATCCAGCTCTCTGCTATGGCCTGGGTTTAGCAGTAGAAGATGGCCCAAGTTCTTGGGCCCCTGCACCCATGTGGGAGACTTGGAAGAAGCTCCTGGCTCCTGGCTTCGGATTGGCACAGCTCCGGCCGTTGGGGCCATCTGGGAAGTGAACCAGCGGATGGAAGACCTCTCTCCCACTGTCTCTATCTCTCTCTGTAACTCTTTCAAATAAAATAAATTAAAAAAAAAAGTTAAAAAGAGAAAATACTAAGGCAATTGAAAGGTTACATTATTTAGATAAAAGGTGATATAGATCAAATGAGGAGTTTAACAACAATCCACTCACCCGCCCCATAAATATTTGCTGACCATGCATAAATGCCAGCATCAAGAGCTAAATACTTTAGAAGGAGCTGGGGAGGCAGAGGTAAAAACCGACATTCCAGACATGATTCTTACTTTCAAGGCAAGTCTAATGGAAAGGATCAAATTACACAAATAAAATGCCACTTTAAAAATGTTTAGAACATATACTAGTATACCCTGCAAATAGGTCTACTACACCGTACTCATTGTTATTTGTAATTGAATACACTTTATGATTTAAAAGAAAATAGAAATTCTCAATAATACACATATATATCCAGGAAGTAATATAAGCACGGTCACATTCCAAGGCAATATGCAAAATACTATGTATTCAACTCATATGGTGTCATACAGGTTATGAATTACAACAAATCCTCTATACTATTCTCTACCTCCTACCTGTTTCTCTTATTGTACATATCACTCTATATAGTATTATTTTATTTGCAGAGAGAAAGGTCTTCCTTCCTTTGGTTCACCCCTCAAATGGCCACTATGGCCAGTGCATGGCAGCCAGCTCACCGTGCCGATCCAAAGCCAGGAGCCAGGTGCTTCCTCCTGGTCTCCATGCGGGTGCAGGGCGCAAGCACTCGGGCCATCCTCCACTGCCTTCCCGGGCCACAGCAGAGAGCTGGACTGGAAGAGGAGCAACCGGGACAGAATCTGGTGCCCCAACTGGGACTAGAACCCGGGGTGCCGGTGCTGCAGGCGGAGGATTAGCCTAGTGAACCGCGGCGACGGCCCCCATTCTCTTTCTAGAATATAAGCTCCACATGGGGAAGTATCATTTTTGTTTTTCTGCTTAGAGAATGTTTGGTGTTCCACTTATATTTATTGCACTGAACAGACACCAATTGAAAGAACTAAGAGATGATACTTAGGTGTTTAGGTATGCATATCTAAGAGATTTATACAGCTGAAGTTCTAGGGAGGGATTTTAAAGTAACCAAACCCCTCCCATCAAAATAATCCACATAAAACCAGTAAGAGGAAAGGTGTTAAAAGAAGCATACGATTATTTAGAATTTTAATTGGAAACTTAGAAATATACTCAACTAAGAAGGTTCAATTTTTCAATAACTACACTATTATTTACATGGACTTTTATATGAATAAGAGCAAAACATGACTGATTTTACCTGAGGGAGCTGTTGTTGGGGTTTTTTAGGTCTTGGTGAAGTTTTATCACCCATTCCTGATACTCTTGTTTTTGGATGGCAGTTGACTGTTTTAACTCATTTGACCATTTATTCTCTAAGTCCTAAAAGAGACAATGTGACAAATGATTAACCGTTTCACAAAAATAAATAAAAGAAAATGCACTGTGTATCTACAGGTCACTGCATGTCACTTACTTGCTGGGATTCAAAATGCTGAGCAGCCAGCGAATTCACATCTTGATCTGTGAGTGATTTTCCCAGTTCTTGCATCACCTTTTCCATTTCAATACCTTGTCTAAAAAATAAACAAGCAAATCAGACATATTTATCAAACTTTCCAAGTATAGGACCACTTCAGAGCTGTTGAACAATCCCTACAAAGTAAAACTAAAACTTTTATTTTCTAGGCATTATAATACCTGGAAAGCACTTGGAACTCTTAGAAGTGGAGACATGGAGATGACAATGATGTCATATAACATCAACATTTGTACAGCTAAATTTTTAAAAAAGATTTTATTGAGATTTAATGCTATAACGAGTACTCAAACAATATATTTCACTTTGTGTTTCTATGGGGGTGCAAACTGTTGAAATCTTTACTTAATGTATACTAAACTGATCCTCTGTAAAAAAAAAAAAAAAGAAATTATCAATTCCCAACTTGACTCTCACTGGGATTAAACATGACAATAGGTCTGATCTGATTTCATCATCATTTAAAAAAATAATCTATTATTTTTCACTTTATGTTTCTGTGTGGGAGCAAACTGTTGAATCCTTACTTAATGTATACTAAGCTGATCTTCTGTATATTAAGATAATCGAAAATGAATCTTGATGTGAATGGAAGGGGAGAGGGAGTGGGAAAGGGGAGGGTTGTGGGTGGGAGGGACGGTATGGGGGGGAAGCCATTGTAATCCATAAGTCGTACTTTGGAAATTTATATTCATTAAATAAAAGTTAAAAAAAAAGATTTTATTTATTTGAAAGCCAGAGTTACAGAGAGAGAGGGAGAATGAAGGAGAGAGAGCAAGAAATCTTCTATCTTCTGGCTCACCTCCCCAATGGCTGCAATGACCAGGGCTGGTCTCCCATGTGGGTGGCAGAGGCCCAAGGATTTGGGACCATCTTCTGCTGCTTTCCCATGTGCATTAGCAGGTAGCTGGATCAAAAGTGGAGCAGCCAAGACTTGAATCTGTACTCATTTGAGATGCTGGCATTATTAGTGGCAGCTTACCCTGCTGCAACATGCTGGCCCCCATATAGCTACATTTTAATCAAAATTTAATGCATAAATGAAAACAGTCATAATCTAAGTGACCTTCCAAATATTATAGCTAATATTTAAAAGTCCAGACCTATTTTCATCTGCAAATTTCCTCAAAGATACTCTGCAACTATAGCTTAAATAGATTTTCACCTTATTTGTATATGAAGTGACTTAAACTTATGAATATTAGTTTATGTTATATCCAGAAATTGTCAGTTTGGTTCTGTAAGTCAAATTGTTACAAATCCCTACAAAATAATTTTTGATGATGGAAAGGAAAAGAATTAAGTGCTAGGGGCTGGTGTTGTAGTACAGTGGGTTAAGTTTAAAGTCAAAAAATGACCTTTACAGAGGAATGTATAGTCTGACATATGCTACTGTCCTTCATTCTTCATTTATCCCAAAAAATAATATGCAGAAATTTAAATTAGTTTTCTCTACAGGAAGAGCTAATTAATGATGTGAAAAGTACAGATAATGATTATTTAGGGAGGAACAGGTGTAGTGACTAGGAAGGCTTGAGGGAGACTTCTGCAATATTCTGCAAATATTCTATGTCTTGACCTAGGTGACGGTTACATGTACGTTCTTACTTTGTGAAAACTGACCTGGACACCCACAGTTTGTTGCCTTTTCTGTATGAAAAAGTTCATTTAAAAATTAAAAATTATGTTCTAATATAAATGTATGCAAAAAGTTTGTTCTAAAATATATTTCAAACAAACTGGGGAAGAATAAAATGCAGACAAAGACTAAAAGAATTTTACTATCATTCTAGTTAAAACTTAATTGTTCTTAAAAGTGAATTTTTATTTGTAGCAAAGATGTTCATATATACAAAAAATGAAATAGATTCATACAAGTTATATACACATTTCTAAATACACCTTCTGAGCTTAAATATTCAGTACCACTTAATCCACTTAGTTCTAATATGGATGATTCTGCTAACTGTTTAATAACTACCACAGCTCAGGTGAAGATTACTGTTGCAAGTGAAATTTTGACTTACAAATTGAAATTACTGCTAAACACTTATAAATAAAAACAGATATAAATATATATTAATATTGTACATTACACATGTTCCCTCTAGTGGATAAAAAGTATCATTGCCATTTTTAAATTTAAAGAAAATTTTAGAATCTGGTTTTCTGGTTTGCTGAAAAAAGCAAATTTCTTGCGTGAAAGAAAAAAAAGACAAATTAAGAATCCAACAAATAAAGTTTCATGAACATTTAATGTGTCCAAAATGCAAGTAGCTAAAAGACACAGTTAAAGATATAAATATTTCTTCTGATTAAGGCCAAAGCAAATTTTATTGTATTTCAGATGAAATACTGGTATAGGTCGGCTCAGTATATCAGACTTGGCAACTGGTTTACCTTGAAAACACTTAGAGAAAAAAGAACATTATATTATGCTGATGCTATGACAAGAAACTGTCCTTTAAAGATGTAAAATGGCATTAAGATGGAAGGAGAAAGAAGAAAAGGTGTCACTTGTGGTCATGAATTACATAAGCAAATTAACCACCAAAATTCCGAGTCAGCATTCATGGACACCTGTGAATTTCACTACCTTGAGGAATGATAACCTTTGCAGTAAATAGTTCCTGCCTGAAGAATATAGCTCATTTTTTCTTGTCAAACTAATAAGTCAGACATATGAAAAATAAATTACAAAAATCTTTTAAAAATAGATGCATTTGTAAATTATTTATATGTCTGGATATGGGGGGAAAAGGCAAATCTCCACCAAGAAATTTGGCTGAAGGACACTTACAAACCAAAACAAATCCCTACAAAACAATTTTTGATAATAGAGAAAGAATTAAGTGCTAGGGGCTGCTGCTGTGGTACAGTGAGTCAAATGATGGCTTGTGACGCCAATCCCCAGATGCTCTACTTCCAATCCAGCTTCCTGCTAATGTACCTGGGGAAGCAATAGAAGACAGGCCCAAGTACTGGGGCCCCTGCCACCCACGTGGGAGACCTGGATGGAGTTCCAGGCTCCTGGCTTTGGCTTGGTCCAGCCTCAGTTGTTGCAGACATTTGGAGAGTGAATCAGGAGATAGAAGATCACTTTCTCTGTCTCTCCCTTTCTCTGTCATTCTACATTTCAAATAAATAAAATAAGTCTTTTTTTAAAAAAAGAATTAAGTGCTGATAAATGCAGATAATTAGTTAATTCAGTTTTCTAATAGGTGAACAGTCAGAAGGAACAGGAATCTTTCTCTGATTTAGCAAAAGAACCATTATAGACTTGGAGTTTTCTAAAAGTAGGGAGTAGGCTGCAAAGTCTACTCCAACTTAGAGAAGTTCACCAGCTGATGAAAGTACTGGTAAAGGAAGTCCAGGTAGCCGAGATGGGCATTTATCTACACACTCAAGTAGGCAGAATGGAGTGCAAGGCTCAGAAAACCTGAGATCAGAGAACAGGTTCAGAACGAATTGAAGGTTAAATTATTTGAAGCCTAGTAGGAAAATAAAACAAATGAAATTTAATAGAAAGTACTTAAGTCTACAAAAGTATTTATTCACATATTTTTAAGAATCTAGTTTTTCATTTTCTTTTTTTTAAAAATACTTTCACAATTTTATTTGTCACATAAAAAAGAATAGAAACAAGGGGCTGGTGCTGTGGCGCAGTAGGTTAATCCTCTGCCTGTGGCACCCGCATTCCAGATGGGTGCCAGTTCTAGTCCCGGCTACTCCTCTTCCAATCCAGCTCTCTGCAATGGCCTGGGAATGCAGTAGAAGATGGCCCAAGTCCTTGGGCCCCTGTGCCACATGGGAGACCGGGAAGAAGCTCCTGGCTCCTGATCGGCGCAGCTCCAGCTGTTGCGGCCATTTGGGGAGTGAACCAACAGACAGAAGACCTTTCTGTCTGTCTCTCCCTCTCACTTTCTGTAACTCTACCTCTCAAATAAATAAAAAAAGAATAGAAACAAAATCAAGTTTTTATTTTCCTCCTGGACACAGCTTCAAGACACAGAAACTATCTCAATACAGCTGGTCAACAACTCAAACCTGTAGGAGTGCCAACCTCTCACAATACCACGTACTTTGTGAAACAGACTGTTCTAACATTTAACAATAAATGGTGGTTAATAATTTTGGAGTCAAAAAAAAGGGCCGACGCCACGGCTCAATAGGCTAATCCTCCGCCTGCAGCGCCAGCACACGGGGTTCTAATCCCGGTCGGGGTGCCGGATTCTGTCCCGGTTGCCCCTCTTCCAGGCCAGCTCTCTGCTATGGCCTGGGAGTGCAGTGGAGGATGGCCCAAGTGCTTGGGCCCTGCACCTCATGGGAGACCAGGAGAAGCACCTGGCTCCTGCCTTCGGATCAGCGTGATGCGCAGGCCACAGCGCGCCGGCTGCGGCGGCCATTGGAGGGTGAACCAATGGCAAAGGAAGACCTTTCTCTCTGTCTCTCTCTCTCTCACTGTCCACTCTGCCTGTCAAAAAAAAAATTTTGTTTTTGGAGTCAGACTTCCTGAGTTTCAAATTCCAGCTTCCAATGGACTAGCTAACTTATTTATCCAAAGTTTCCTCATCTGCAGTAGAAACAGGATTACAGGAAAGATCAAATGAGACAGGGCACCCGCAGCAGTCCACACAGCACCTGGAACAAAGCCAGCCTTCAACAGTGGCCATCTAGTCGCTCTATCTGAGATGAGACAAGACTACGTAACGGCAGCATAATTTATCTAGGCTAATTGCTTGAGAAGTTCTCTAATCCCATGAGGACCCTCCCAGCTGAAATGACACTTTTTTTTTTTTTTTTTTTTGACAGGCAGAGTGGACAGTGAGAGAGAGAGACAGAGAGAAAGGTCTTCCTTTGCCGTTGGTTCACCCTCCAATGGCCGCCACGGCCGGCGCGCTGCGGCCGGCGCACAGCGCTGATCCGATGGCAGGAGCCAGGAGCCAGGTGCTTTTCCTGGTCTCCCATGGGGTGCAGGGCCCAAGCACCTGGGCCATCCTCCACTGCACTCCCTGGCCATAGCAGAGAGCTGGCCTGGAAGAGGGGCAACCGGGACAGAATCCGGCGCCCCGACCGGGACTAGAACCCGGTGTGCCGGCGCCGCAAGGCGGAGGATTAGCCTAGTGAGCCGCGGCGCCGGCTTGAAATGACACATTTAAAAGTGCAAGGAAGTTAGGTTCTAATACTAAAGAACTTTTTGTATCTTACCCTTTAATTTTATAATAAATTAAAACAAGTTATTCTGTAACCCATCACCTTTGACAACATAACACTGAGTTATAATGCAAGAAATTTGAAATACCTCTCTCTTAATTTTTTTAGTTCCACATCTCTTTCACCAATTAGTTCTGAGATGCTAACAAAATAATTGTGTTCCAGATTTAGGAGTGTTTCAGAGGCAGGAGAGTGAATGAGGTCGTGGTACACGTCTGCAAAATCTTCATCCCAGCTGGGCTCTTCCGGCCTTGCATGCTCCAATGTTGTCTGCAGAATGATACACAAGCATTTTAAATTATGACACGGCATTTTTATTTAACATACTAGCAGAAAATATGTATGTTGTGATTCCATTTTTGTATGTCAAACAAGGACAGAAAGACTATTTATACATATGTATATTTGATATATGGGATGGTCTGTGTACAGAAAAAAATTGGGTGGAATATAAAGTAAGTTAATATAAGTTACCCAGGGACAGGGGTGAGGCAGAAGTATTAATGTGGAGGAAGAACAGAACTGCTCACAATTAAAAAAATAAGTATGCTATTATGCTATTTCTTTTTTTGAAAAATTTTTTTATGACAGGCAGAGTGAGACAGTGAGAGAGAGAGACAGAGGGAAAGGTTTTCCTTCTGTTGGTTCATGCCCCAAATGGCTGCCATGGCTAGTGCACTGCGCCAATCTGAAGCCAGGAGCCAGGTGCTTCCTCCTGGTCTCCCATGTGGGTGCAGAGCCCAAGCACTTGGGCCATCTTCCACTGCCCTCCCGGGCCACAGCAGAGAGCTGGACTGGAAGAGGAGCAACCAGGACAGAATCCGGCACCACGACCGAGACTAGAACCCAGTGTGCCGGCGCCGCAGGCGGAGTATTAGCCAAGTGAGCCACAGCGCCGGCTTATTATGCTATTTCTATGAAATAACACACGCACACACACACACACACAGAGACATACAAACAAAGGGATGATCCACAAAATGCTAATGGTGCCTATTTAGGGACAGTGGACAATGGGAATTCTGATGATCTTTATTTTCTTTATATTCTAACATATAACACAATCAATTTCACATACAAATCACATAATCAGAAAAACTTTTCCTTATAAAAAATTTACTGCTGAAAAGTGTTTACAGGTTATATGATAGAATTTTTTAAAGGTTTATTTATTTATTTATTTGAAAGAGCCATAGAGGGGCCGGCGCTGTGGTGCAACAGGATGAAGCCTTGGCCTGAGGCACTGGCATCCCTGATGGGCACTGGTTCTAGTCCTGGCTGCTCCTCTACCGATCCACCTCTCTGCTGTGGCCTGGGAAAGCAGTGGAAGATGGCCCAGATCCTTTAGCCCCTGCACCCACGTGGGAGACCTGGAAGATGCTCCTGGCTTCTGGCTCCTGCCTTTGGATCGGCGCAGCTCCAGCCACTGTGGCCATCTTGGGGGTGAACCAGCAGATGGAAGATCTCTTTCTCTCTGTCTCTACTTCTTTCTGTAACCCTGTCTTTCAAATAAATAAAATAAATCTTTAATAAAAAAAAAGAAAGAAAGAGCCATAGAAAGAGGGAGAGGTAGAGACAAAGAGAACTTCCATCTACTGTTTCACTCCCCCAGTAGCCAAAACCAGGGCTGTCCAGGAAAAGGCCAGGAGCCAGGAACTCCATCCTGGTTTCCCATATGGATGGCAGGGGCCCAGGAACTTGGGCCACATTCGGCCGCCTTCCCACACACATTTGTAGGAAGCTGGATTGGAAGTGGAGTAGCCAGGACTCAAATCAGCACTCCAGTATGAGATGCTGGTGTTGTAAGCAGTGGCTTAATCCACTGTACCACAATACTGGCTTTAGTACATGAAGGAATTTCAAAACATTTAAAGTATGTTTATTTGGGTGTGAAAAATTTTGAAACCACACAGTGCTTTTTCATCAGATGTATACCCCACAAACTTTTTGAAGACCCCTTGTATACCTAGAAATGAAGTTACCTGGGGATGGCATCATGGTGTAGTAGGTAAAGCTGTAGCCTGCAGTGCCAGCATCCCAAATGGGTGCCAGTTCGAGTCCTGGCTGCTCCACTTACAATCCAGCTCCCTGCTAATGTGCCTGGGGAAGCAGTGGAGGACGGCCCAAGCACCTGGGCCCTTGTACCCACGTAAGAGATCCAGAAGAAGCTACTGGCTCCTGGCTTCGGATTGGCTCAGCTCTGGACATTGCAGCCATTTGGCGAGTGAACCAGCAGATGGAAGATCTTTCTTTCTCTCTCCCTCTGCCTCTAGGTAACTCTGCCTTTCAAATAAATAAATAAATCTTAAAAAAACAAAACTGAGGTTATCTTGGCATCTTGGAGAGTGAACCAGGGGATGAGAGTACTCTCTCTGTCTCCCTGCCTCTCAAATAACTGAAAATAAAGAAACTAAACAACATAGTATTAAAAATAAAAGCTTCAGCATCAACTTTATGGCTTTCCTCTCTGCCCCACATCCTGTCAACAACCTGGGTCACTTGGATGTCCACGTGGACAACCTAGCCAATGGACTGCCTTCTTTCTTTCCTGAACTCAGATCTTCAGTAAGTTCTCCATGCTACCTCAGCCACCTACTCAGTATCCTCCCTAGGAACAGGTCAAGTCTCTGTGTAAACCTCCAGCAAGACTTCTCAATGACTCCTAGGCAACTGGTTCTCAAACCTCATCAGAACCTCCACAAACTCTCCCACCTTATCATTTCTTATCAGCCATCAGCTCCTGCCTAGCTCCACTTCCTTCCTTATGGGACAACATCCTGCCAATATCCTCATTTCCCTTGATTGATGTTTTTTTCTCTTATCCACTTACCAAAAACCCTAAACTTCATCTTTTTCTCTATGTCTACAGATAGGTTGTAGAGAACTGCAGCAGAAAAAAACTACAAAACACCACAGTTTATGGTGGCAAACTGATGTCACTCCACCATTACCCTTCAAAGATGTCTGACAATTCTGACAATTCAGGAAAGCAGAGTGAGGTCCAAGAGCTCCATGCTTTTTATCTGCTTCCAAAAGGGGAGTGGTTACGTAGTCTGATTGACAGGTGGGTGTACAGGTAAAGTCAGGTAGGGACATGAGATCATGAAAAGGGGGTGGTCTTCCAGTGTATGAGTCTAATTGGTTTAATCCTATCTGCCTGCCGAGATCATGACTGTCCCTCGCTCTCTGTAACTCTGCCTGTAACTCTGTAACTCCTTACTCAGTTATCTCCGTAAACACCCAATTATATCATTACCCAACCCCACCTCATTTCAACAATCTGCCTTTCCTATTTCTCAGAGAAAGCTGAAACAATGAGAGAATACGGTCCACTTCTTGCTACTAAATTAGTAAAACTTCCTGAATTTATATCCAACCTTTCTCAATTCTCTTCTGCTATAATGGAAGAAGCTAAGCTAAGATTAATTCTTGGGTCTGGTGAAGTGTTGTAGTAGGTTAAGCAATGCCTGTAGTGCTGGCATACTATATAGGTGCTGGTTCGAGTCCTGGCTGCTCCACTTCCAATCTAACTCTCTGCTATGGCCTGGGAAAGCATTAGAAGATGGCTCAAGTCCTTGGGCCCCTGTACCCATGTGGTAGATCTGGAAGAAGCTCCTAGCTCCTGGCTCCTGGCTTCAGATAGGCACAGCTCCAGCTGCTGCAGCCATCTGGGGAATGAACCAGTGGACAGAGGACCTCTTTTCCTCCTCCCTCCTCCTCCCTCCCTCCCTCTCTCTCTCTCTCTCTCTCTCTCTCTCTGCCTCTGCCTTTGCCTCTCTAAAACTCTGCTTTTCAAATAAATAAATGAATCTTAAAAAAATAGAATAAAATAAATAAAAAATGATTAATTCTCCACTTTAGTTTTAGACTCAATCCCTCACAGTCTTCAACTGTACCATATTAAAGACAAAAACAAACCTCTGTTCCTTGGTGGGCATGTAGCAAGTACCCCATCTTTCTCCTTTCTACAGCCAGACTTCCTGAATTATCTATACTCATTCTTCCTATTTCCACATACCCACACATTCTTAGGATCATTGAAATCTAGTTTCTGCACCCACCATTCCATGGAAATTGACCCTAATCCCACCACAGATAGTATTACTTGATAAACAAAATTGATGTTTTTGAATCTTTATTTTGCATCTTACACCTGGTGACCTCTTGGCATTCTATCATAGTCTATTTGGTAATGTTCTTTTTTAATAAATAAAATAGTGATGAGTTTTACAATCACGGCATCTTAGACTCTATGAAAGAGGGTATATATTTAGACAGAAGAATAATGATATTATATAAACAATAATAACAATGAAGATAAGTGAATGGATGAAAGTAACCAGAAGTTTAAAATAAATTACTGTTGCTGGTTTAGGGTTGCTGGATAAAACAGAGGACATCTGGTTAAATTAGAATTTCAGAAAAGCATGATTTGTGGAGCATACTTATACTAAAAAACTTCATTTGTCTGAAATTCTAATCTAACTTAGTGTTCTGTGTTTTTAGTGAATAAATTTGGTGATCTGTGCTGGCTACAAAGACAAAGGTAGCCTCCCACTTTACACGGGTGTTACCTCAGACGCACGCTGTCTCAGCTGCTCACCCTGATCTAGGAAGGAGGCACAGAAGCTCCAACCTGGATTGTCCATTACTGGTATGTGGAGAAAAAAGATTCCATTACCATTGAGTATTATCTTAACTATTAAAAAATCCTCATCCAGGGGCCAGTGCTGTAGTGTAGTGGGTAAAGCCACTGCCTGCAGTGCCAGTATCCCATATGGGTGCCAGTTAGATTTCCGGCTGCTCCACTTCTGATCCAGCTCTCTGTTACGGCCTGGGAAAGCAGTGGAAGATGGCCCAAGTTCTTGGACTCCTGCACCTGCATGGGAGACCCAGAAGAAGCTCCTGGCTCCTGGCTTCAGAATGGCCCAGCCATCTGAGAAGTGGACCAACGGATGGAAGACCTCTCTCTCTGCCTCTGCCTCTCTGTAACTCTGCCTTTAAAATAAATAAATAACTCTTTAAGAAAAAAAAAAAAACAACAACCCTCATCCAAGCCCAGAATACCCTTGAAATGTCCAGTCTGACCCATGTGCTCACCTCAGCGTAAGCTCTGGCCCACACACTTGCCAGCTGGTGCAAGTCCACTTCCCCTGACTTCACAGCTTCCAGGGAGGCTTCCGCCTCTTTGTCATATTCTCTCAGGGATTCTTCCTCTATAAACTGGCTCAGAGCTTCTTTTAGGTCTGTCACAGGGTCAACAAAGCCATCGTTACTGAAATCCAGAAATAAGTAGAGGACATTTTACCTAGCTAAGCAATCCAATATGAAATTTCGTTTTGTTAAGATTATACTCATAGAAGAATCTCTAGATAATATAAGATCCGCTTATGGGATCATTTAACTAATTTCACAACTATTTTTCCTTACTCTTGTAAGTTATCACATGGAGAAAGGTCAAAATTCTTTACTCTTATGTATAACCTGATTCTAATTAAGCAATGTTTTTTCTTTGATATATATTTTATTTAAGTTATACAAGTTTCATATATTTCCTTTATACTGTTACAGGAACATAGTGGTACTCCCCCACCCTCCCTCCCACTCACGCTCCAAACCTTTCTTCTCCTTCCTCTCATATTACACTCTTAATTTTTGCAATGATCTTCTTTTTTGTACACTTAATGCTCATATAGTTAACACTACCCTAAGTAAAAGAGTTCAACAAATAGTACAAAGAGAAAACAAAACAAAACAAAACAAAACACAGTTCCTCAATGAAAGAGACAAGGGCTATAAACCATCATTGATTATCAAAATATCTATTTCATTTCAATACATTTCAGGTACTCTATTCATCGCCTCCGATCAGGGAAAACACATGATATCTGTCTTTTGGGGACTGGCTTATTTCACTAAGCATAATGGTTTCCAGTTGTGACCATCTTGTTGCAAAAGACAGGATTTCATTCTTTATTTTACAGCTGAGTAGTATTCCATGGTGTATATCTACCATAATTTCTTTATCTAGTCATCAGTTGATGGCTAATTAAGTAATGTTAATATCTAAGTCTGATACTTCAGTTTAAAACTCAGTAGGTACAAGCACATAAAGGAAAACCTACAGATTTTGAGGGTACAAGCACATAAAGGAAAATCTATAGATTTTGAGAGTCTGTATTGAAGTGAAAGAGTTTCCTGTATAACTCTAAAGGGTGTGTTGCCACATCTTTTGATTTTGCGTGAGAAACTGACCAGCATATTAAAATGTATTTAATTCAAATGATCTATGATTTCAATCTCAGAGGCACTTCTTCGAGATCATATATAATGGAAAGAGCACTGAAACAGAAGTCCTAATTCCTGGGTTCTGGCCTTGGCTCTGTCACTACCTCTCTTGACTTTGGATAAGTAAGTAGTTCACAACTTTCCATGTACAGCAATCAGATCCCCTAGAGGGATTTAACATTTGGAGGTTTTTTTTTTTTTTTTTGACAGGCAGAGTGGACAGTGAGAGAGAGAGAGAGAAAGAGAGAGAGAGAGAGAGAGAGAGAGAGAGAGAGAAAGGTCTTCCTTTACAATTGGTTTACCCTCCAATGGCCGCTGTGGCCAGTGCGCTGCGGCTGGCACACCTCGCTGATCCGAAGCCAGGAGCCAGGTGCTTCTCCTGGTCTCCCATGCAGGTGCAGAGCTCAAGGACTTAGGCCATCCTCCACTGCACTCCCTGGCCACAGCAGAGAGCTGGCCTGGAAGAGGAGCAACCAGGACAGAATCCAGCGCCCCGGGCTACAGCAGAGAGCTGGACTGGAAAAGGAGCAACCGGGACAGAATCCGCCGCCTGACCAGGACTAGAACCCAGTGTGCCGGCGCCGGAGGTGGAGGATTAGCCTAGTGAGCCGTGGTGCCAACCAACACTTGGTGTTTTTTAAAACAGAGTGCAAGGGGCTGGCACTGTGGTATAGCAGGTAAAGCCACAATCTGCAGTGCCAGCATCCCATTTGGGTAGCGGTTTGAGTCCCGGCTGCTCCTCTTCTGATGTAGCTCTTTGCTACGGCCTGGGAAAGCAGTAGAAGCTGGCCCAAGTCCTTGGGCCCCTGTGCTGGTGTGGGAGACCTGGAAGAAGCACCTGGCTCCTGGCTTCGGATCAGCCCAGCTCCAGCCGTTGTGGCCATCTGGAGAGTGAACCAGAGGATGGAAGACTTTCTCTCTCTGTCTCTCCTTCTCTCTCTGTGTAACTCTGACTTTCAAATAAATAAATAAATCTTTAAAAAAAAAATACCAGAATGCAGTGCCACCCCCAGACTGAGCTGGAATGAGAAGGGATTCAGAACTGGCAGTTCTTCCTTTTTGTTTTTGTTTCTTCTTAAAGATTATTTATTTATTTGAAAGGCACAATTACGGAAACAGAAAGGGAGAGATAGACCTTCCGCCCACTGGTTCACCTCCCAGATGACCATAACTGCCAGTGCTGGGCCACATGGAAGCAAGGAGCCAGAGTTTCATCTGGATCTCCCAAGGGGGTGGTAGGGGCCCAAACACTTGAGCCATCTTCCTTTGCTTTCCCCAGGCCATTAGCATGGAGCTGGATTGGAAGTGGAGCAACCAGGACAGGAACTGGCATCCACACAGGATGCTGGCATTGCAGGCGACAGCTTTACCCACTCACCACAACACTGGCCCCAGAACTGGCACTTCTGACAGGTTCTCAGATGATACTGTTTCTGCTGATGAGGGGACCACATTTTGAGAACTCCTGCCTCAGGTGAACAATTTAACCTCTTCATGATCTAGCTCCCTTCTTTGTATGGTGTGATAATCCTAGAAAGTTTCTAGGTTCCCTTCTAACTTTCTATAATCCAACATATTCTCAATTTAAAATTTTTCCTAGTCTGTGAGATAGAACACAGACCTTTCAAAATGGTTTACCACAGATTGCTTTACAGAAATAATTTCGGAAAGCAAAGACATACTCTTCCATGTCATCTCAGAAACTGATGACCAGACCATTGAAAAGTCAACCAATTTAACAATAAAATTCTATTACGATTAAATTAGTCAGAACTGAAATGTCTCAAGAATCCACCCAACTAAATTCAGAGGTTAAGAGTTTCAATCTAGACTTTGTAGCTCATTTTTCATTATGTAATTTTTATCCTCAGTTGCTTTATAAAGACCTACAAGGGTTAGAGGGAAAACACTCAATAAAACAAAGGTCTGGGGAACCTTTCTTGTTCATAGAAGCAGTTGAACAATTCATATTTCATGGCTCTTTCTAATGTTTCTTAGAAGTAAGCTTTTTTTTTTTTTTTTTTTTTTGACAGGCAGAGTGGACAGTGAGAGAGATAGAGAGAAAGGTCTTCCTTTTGCCGTTGGTTCACCCTCCAATGGCCGCTGCAGCCGGCGCACCGCGCTGATCTGATGGCAGGAGCCAGGTGCTTCTCCTGGTCTCCCATGGGGTGCAGGGCCCAAGCACTTGGGCCATCCTCCACTGCACTCCCTGGCCACAGCAGAGAGCTGGCCTGGAAGAGGGGCAACCGGGACAGAATCCGGCGCCCCGACCAGGACTAGAACCCGGTGTGCCGGCGCCACAAGGTGGAGGATTAGCTTAGTGAGCCGCAGCGTCGGCCAGGAGTAAGCTTTCTAACAGGAAATGTCTAATGAAAGAGACTATAGGAAAATAATAACATGGCATTAATTAAAGAAACCCAGTCCTCACCATTTTCTACAAAGCACGGCAGATTGTGCAACGGCATCAGACGCCCATGCAGATGACTGACGTTCTCTTGAACTGGAAATTGGAGGGGCACCTTCAGTTCTAAGCATTCTCGTCCTACTTTGAATTTATACACGAATTCCCTTTCTTTGTGGCACACTCTTTCTCTGTTTTTCTTCATAGTCTTTGCCAGGACTTCTATAAATTAACAAAAAAAAGCAATGGGTTATAAATACATAAAAGAACCACCATGTTTCATTATTGCTACATCAATTCTAAGACAACGTTTTACCACTGGTAGATTTTATATGTGGGGCTCTGACCCAATTATCCTAGTTTTTTCCAAGTGCTTATGCCTGTATTTTCATCTTTGTGATAAAAACAAAGTTCTTCCTCTTCTTCTTTTTAATAAAAACACTGTTTCTTTCAAACTTCATTTAAGAAAAAAACATGCCCATAACTTACTTTGTATTCTTAAGTAGAGTGCTCAATACTATGGAAGGAACATGGAGAGGAAAGCAAAGAGGATTGTTAGGAAGAGGTGCAGGGGTGAGGCAGACACCAAGCTTATGAAAATATGGTGAAAACAAAGTCCAAGAAATGAATCCCTGATCTTGAGGGTCTTAGAGCTGTGGTCTTGAGATCTGATTGGTAAAGGGCAGGTAAGAAAGTGCTAGAAAGACTTCCACATAGGAGAGTAATGAGTAGGAGATATTCAGAAAAACAAAGTACAGGATGCCTTCCACAAGGCAAACTGGACACTGTTCAGAAAGACAACCTAGGTAAAGGGAGTAAGATCCAACACCAATTACAGATGTAGTCATCAGCCTCCGAGCGGGACTCCCTGTGGCTAGGCATTCTTCCATCAAATCAGCTCTCAACTATTTTCTACAGTGAACTCACAGTCATCTTTCTAAAAAAAATTAAATACAGTCATCTCATCACATTGCTCATCTACTTAAAATCTTTCAATGACATTCCATTGCTCTCAGGATAAAATCCAAACTCCTTAACCCAGCAGACAATGTCCCTCCCCGAATCTCCAAACTCTTCTCCCACCATCTGCAGCCCTCTTCTCCAACACACAGATTCACAGACTTTATGTGCCAGCCACATTCAACTTCTGTCAACACCAAACTTCCCTTTCCACTCCCAGCTTTCGGACTTTTCCTTTAGAGCACTTTCACTCATCTTATTTCTCTTGGACAACAAACAGTTATTCTTCAGGTTTCAGCTCAGACAGCCCCCAAGAAGCCTTCTTCAACTTTCTAAAGCTGTATAGGGTCCCCATTATAGGCTCTCATAGTATGAGCCTGTGAGTATCGGAATCATGGCTCCTACGGTACTCTATTTCTCATGCTTGCTAGAACCATATATTTCCAGTGGAAGGAATTCTTTCTTCTTCTATTTCATGTGCCAGGCAGGCTGTTGGAAATATAATGGTTATACATACTTGCTGAATTGTACAATGTTTTGATTTTCTGGTTCTCACTGGGAGAAACGAAGTTAACAATTATTCGTATTTTTCTTTAAGAAGAGGTCACCTGAAATATAAAAATAACTCAGACAAAGGAGTTTTTGAGGGAGGCATTTGATGAATTATCCAGACTATATTTTCAAATATGCATACATAAAATTTTTAAGTAAAAATGTAAAAATTTTGTCTATTTCATACTAATACAAAGAATGAGTATGTATGTTTTACTCACAGAATGGGTTCACCCCCATTTATTAAATATAAAGCAATGGAAATATGTACAACAATTCTATAAAACTGACAGTAGCTACCAACAGTAGCCAGTATGTTCAATGATGCAGAAACTCCATTCCAGGGGCCAGCATTGTGGCACAGAAGGTTAAGCTGCCACTTGTGTCACTGGCATCCCATACTGGAGTGCCTGTAAGAGTCCCAGCTGCTCCACTTCTGATCTAGCTACCTGCTAATGCACCCAGGAAGGTAGTGGAGGATGGTCCAAGTACTTAGGTACCTGCCACCCACGTGGGCGGTCCAGATAGAGTTCCTGGCTCCTGGTTTTGGCCTGGTCCAGACCTAGCTATTGCAGCCATTCATTGAATGAACCAGAAGATAGAAGGTGTCTCTGTCTCCCTCCTTCTGTCATTCTGCCTGTCAAATAAATAAATAATAAACCTTAAAAGGCAAGGTGGGGGTGACAGAGAAGGAGAGAAAACACTTTCTTATACTGAAGAAATAGATTTTACCTCTGGGAAATGTAAATTCTCAAAGATGATGCAACACGTGAAAACACAATTTTTAAAAAGTTAAAATGTATGATTCTATTAAGTGCAATGTACATGTACTGAAAAGTAAGGGTCTTACATTAAAAATCTTTCTGATGGTTAAAACTGAAAGCTGACTAATGTGCAGAATCCAGAGCTATGTGCCATCAGAAGTTCTGAGCTCAGCCAGTGAGGGGAGAATATGATACAAAAAGATACATCCCACTGACTTCATGTGTAGCATCAGCACCACCACCTGGTCTGGATTAATTAAGCAGCCAAACAGAACTCCCTGTGGCCAGTGGAAACACAACCCCACCTCTCCATATTTTAGATTCCCTCCACTTAAAACCCCGCCCTACCTCCTCCCAACACTCCTTGACCTGGCATCCAAGGCCCCCCGCAGGATCTAACCCCTACCGACAACTCCAGCTTCGTATGAACCAGGGTGCACACGGACCCCAGGCAAATGTTTACTGACAAAGGGCAGTGTCGCGATCGGAGAACAGGTCCCTGACTGTCATTCAAGGAGTTCAAATTCTGACTCCACCGTTCGGTCGCCGTCTCAACAACTATCAGTTGGAGATAATGTCATGTACCTCGCAGATCTGTTACACGAGTCAAACAACGAACACAAAGCATCCGACCAACGTAAGATCAATACGCGGAAGGCAGTAACAATAAAATACACTAGGAACACATCAGCAAAAAATCCGCAGGTTACTAATTGAATACTCACAAGAAAATCAGAGCAGCAAAAGAACACTGCTGCTGGGCATTGAAATTTGCAGAAATAAGGGCTTTTGGTCTGACTAGTTCAGAAGCATTGCTTTCGGTAACCAATCATTAGCTCCGGCTTCAGCCGATTCAACGTTTAGACACCTGTTCCAAAACGCACATTTTAGTTACGTCTGTCTACCTTGAAGCCCTTACCTCACTTTTTAGCAGCCGTGATATCATAGAAGATACAAAATTGGAATAGAAGGCGGGCCAGACTCAGCTCACATAAGCCCAAGAGCGGAGTCTGCGGCTCGGGTCGGTCAAGGAACGAGATGGCAGCCTGCCCGGCCCAGGGGCTCCAGCCAACGGAGGGAACAGAGTTTCAGTCGGAAAGGTATTCCTAGCTTTTGGCTGAGGGCTCACCTCACCTAATTCCGAAGCGGCTCGCTCACTCCGAGCTGTCAGAGAGCCTGGGCACCAGAAACGTCAGCTGACTTACTCTTGTTTTTATAGCCAGCAGATCCGCCACGGCAGATTCACTCACGTCTGTTCCATTTCTCTGGCACTTTGCAGAAGAATCCTCAGTCCAAGTCCCCTTTTGTTCCAGTATTCTCAGGTTTAATCATTTGAAAGGTGCAATAATGTGTATTTCTACCGTTACTGTGCATATCAGAAAGAGCGCAGGAGCCCCTCAGCGTGACGAAAGTGCTGAGGGAATACACAAACTCGGTTCCGGCTAGCCGGATGCTAGGGCGATGCCCGGGGAAGGCCGTGAGGTCACGCGCTCTTCTTAGGGCGCATGCGCCGCCGCGGGGTGGCTGGTGGTGATTGGAAGGCTGCTGGCAGCGGGGCGGAGTGCGGGATGTCTGATTTTGGGCGGGAATTGAAACCGTCGCGGCGGACGAGAAGAACCTGAGAGCCGCAGGATCTCCAGCGTTGAGAGCGACCATGGTGCGGCCTGTGAGGTGGGTGGTTTCTGACGCCCAGCCGGGGTGGGGAGAACGGTGTAGACCGCGTCGGCACCGGATGGAGGGAAAGGGCCGGGTGAGAGGGTGGAATGGGCGGTTGTTGGACCTCGCTAGTCCCCGGGAGGAGCTCCGGTTGCCCGGAGGGAGGCGTCCCCGCCGTTTGCCTCCCTTCGCAGCTGTTGCTGTTCCTTTTGCTCACCGCACCCGAACGAGGCCGTCTGCTAGCGTGTGAACAGCGCTTCCCATTTCCCCGCACGCCCGCTTGTGTGTTGTTTTCATTTGCTCCTCTCTGCGATTCTCATACAGGAGGCGTAGATCTTCCTCTCTTACCGATTGCAAACTAGCTGGGCCAATTTACCTGGGTCACACAGCTTGCAGGTGGCGCAGTGCGCAACCCTGAATCATCGGACCCCAGACCGTTGTACTGTGCTTTCCATTATATTCTTGAAAGTCTTCCTCCGCTTCGATGCACGCCAGTGCTTTTGGAAGCCCCAGTCAGCCATTCATGCAAAAGCGTTATTGAAGAGACTTGCTTTTTCTATACCATACCGGGTGCTGGAGGGGAGGTTAGGGCGCCGAAAATAAACATGGCCATGTGATGGAGTGGGAAAGAGGGAAGTAGGATGGCGAGGTCGTGCTTTCCCAGGAAGAAGACGTGTGATAGACACGAGCCAAGAGAAGGAGCTAGTCTCCTAAGAGTAGGGGGCACTCCAGGTAGAGCGACCCAGTGAGGTCACTGGGCGGTGGTTTGGCCTGGGGTGTTATTAGTCGACACAGAATGGAAGATGAAGCTGGGATATAGTCTGCTGGTGGAACTTGCTAATGAAGTGCATGAGCATGATCCCTGTGATGAAGTGGTAAAAAAGAAGTCAAGGATGACTCCCTGATATTTCTGAGCCACTGAATGGATGTCTTTTGTATTGAGTGATAGGGGAAACACCAGAAAAATGACATGTGGGGAATTAGAGACATGCTCAACTTGAAGTGGGTTTCAAGCATCCACGTAGCAAAGAGATAGTCTCTTTGTTGGGAAGAAAGATTGTTAAAGTATGTTCTGCCAGCCGTTGTCTCGACTGTTGAGGAACAGGTTTTTTTTTTTTTTTTCCTTTGTGCAAATTGTTGAACTCTTTACTTAGTATAGAATTGGTCTTCTGTGTATAAAAGTAATTGAAAATGGATCTTAGTGGAGAATGGGACTGGGAATGGGAGATGGAGGAGGAGGAGTGGTGGGAGGGCAGGTATGGTGGGAAGAATCACTATATTCCTCAAGTTGTACTTAGGAAATGCATGAAGTGTGTAGTCCTTAAATAAAAGGATTCTTTGGAAAAAAAATAAAAAAGCAGAAAACCCACAATTTACCAAATAATCCTTTAAACTTCAAGGCATTTGTGTGTCAATATCATGAAAGCTTAGATTCGCTTTCATAAAAAAAGGAAAAAATATCTGCTACCTCATGGGGTCCCTGAAACTGTCTCCAGTCTTCAAAGTGAAAGCTATTTTCCTAACAGTCCTAAGACTTTATTTGCCCTTTTCACTGTTCTGTCATTTGCACGGCAGAGATTAGAAAGCTTGCGGGCACCTCAGCCCGCGTGGAGACAGTGGCGTCAGGCTGCTCCCAGTGGTCGCGTTCTTTACTGCGAACCATTCAGAGTGGGGACAAAATCTCAGCTTCATTTAAGAATATTCTTGATAAAGCAGTAAGAGTTACTGTATTCATTGTACCTCAGCCCTTGAGTGTACTCTCTTTTTCAAATAGGCTTTCAATTTCCTTTTACTATTACTGAATCTTGGGATTTTTACGGATGGAGGTCCTATGTTTTATTCAGCTCTGAAATTCTTTAAAACTGAAGAGTAGGAGAGTAACATGAGTACACTTTTTGAAGATTGGGTATGAGGAAGTGGGCATTACACCTACATTCTACATGCTGAAATGTGGGTGCTTATCTCAAGGAAAAGCATTTGTGAATTCGAATTGTCAGTGGAATTTGTTTCTTTTTCATGGGACGTCATTTTTGCTTGAAAGAACAGCCAACTGACCAACTAGCAGTTCCACTGGGATGTTTGACAGAAAGAAGATAGAAGCCAAGACTAGAAGACCATTTGTATCATTCAGTGCTTAGAGGCACAAAGAAGGAAATGCTATTTTTTTCCTTTTGATTTTCTTCTAATGTCCTCATGTAGCTTAAAGATTCATTTCAGGTGGCAGGAACAAGGTCACTCACCATTGTTAAAGAGCCCATTGCATAAAAAACATTATTTCGTATTGTGGAGAGATCAAAAAGGATGGATTGTAGTATCAAGAAGTTTCTAACCAGGGCTGACTTGGCATTAACATAACAAGTTAAGCTCCACCTGCAATGCCAGCAAACCATGTGGGCACGGTTTGAGTCCTGGCTGCTCTGCTTTTTTTTTTTTTTTTTTTTTTTTTGACAGGCAGAGTGGACAGTGAGAGAGAGAGACAGAGAGAAAGGTCTTCCTTTGCCGTTGGTTCACCCTCCAATGGCCGCCACGGCCGGCACGCTGCGACCGGCGCACCGCGCTGATCCAATGGCAGGAGCCAGGAGCCAGGTGCTTTTCCTGGTCTCCCATGGGGTGCAGGGCCCAAGCACCTGGGCCATCCTCCACTGCACTCCCTGGCCACAGCAGAGGGCTGGCCTGGAAGAGGGGCAACCGGGACAGAATCCGGCGCCCCGACCGGGACTAGAACCCGGTGTGCCGGCGCCGCTAGGCGGAGGATTAGCCTAGTGAGCCGCGGCGCCGGCCTGGCTGCTCTGCTTTTGATCCAGCTCCCTGCTAATAGCCTGGGAAAGCAGTAGAAGATGGCCCAGATCTTTGGGCCCCTGCATCCACGTGGGAAACTCAGATGAAGCTCCTGGCTGCTGGCTTCAGCCTGGCTGTTGTGGTGGCCATTTGGGGATCTCTCGATCTCTCTCTCTCTCTCTCTCTCTGTAAAAATCTTTTTTTTTTTAAAGATGTAATCTATTAAGAAAGATAGAATGCACATACAAAACAAAAAAGGTCATACAAGAGGAACTTACAAATGTCCAATAGCAGTTAAACAGCATATAAATTGTAATTGTTAATTATGTGGGTTATTCTTACAAGTTATCTGAAATTTTTCCATATCAAGTAAATCAGGTATAATTATACAGGTACCTTCAGAAAGTTTGTGGAAAATGCAAATTATGAAAAAACTGAAAAGATTTAAATTTTCTTTTTACACCAAAATAAACTTGTCTTTAACTCCATTTTCTATGAACTTTTTAAAAAAAGATTTATTGATTTATTTGAAAGACAGTTACAGAGAGGCAGAGGCAGAGAAAGAGAGATCTTCCGTCTGCTAGTTCACTCCCCAGATGGCTCCAGTGGCTGAAGCTGGGCTGATCCAAGGTCAGGAGCTTCTTCTGGGTCTCTCAACTGGGTGCAGGAGCCAGGAGTTTCTTCGAGGCTTCCATGCGAGTGCAGGGGCTCAAGCACTTGGGCCATCTTCTACTGCTTTCCCAGGCCATTGCGGAGAGCTGGATTGGAAGTGGAGCAGCAGGGACTCGAACAGGTGCCCATATTGGATGCCAGCGCTGCAGGTGGTGGCTTTACTTGCTATGCTACAGCACTGGCCCTACATGAACTTTTTTTTTTTTTTTTGCCAGGCAGAGTTACAGTGAGAGAGAGACAGAGAGAGAGTTATAGACAGTGAGAGACAGAGAGAAAGGTCTTCCTTCCGTTGGTTCACTCCCCTAATGGCCGCTATGGCCAGTGCTGCACCGATCTGAAGCCAGGAGCTGGGTACTTTTTCTTGGTCTCCCATGCGGGTGCAGGGACCCAAGTACTTGGGCCATCCTCCTCTGCCCTCCTGGGCCACAGCAGAGAGCTGGATTGGAAGAGGAGCAACTGGGACAGAATACGGCGCCCCAACCGGGACTGGGGTGGGGGGCGGTGCTGCAGGCGGAGGATTAGCCTGTTGAGCCATGGCGCCTGGCCTGAGGCGCTGGCATCCCATATGTATATGTGCACCGGTTCTAGTCCCGGCTGCTCCTTTTTCGATCCAGCTCTCTACTATGGCCTAGGATAGCAGTGGAGGATGGCCCGAGTCCTTGGGACCCTGCACCCATGTGGGAGACCCAGAGGAAGCTCCTGGCTCCTGGCTTTGGATAGGCACAGCTCTGGCCATTATGGTCATCTGGGGAGTGAACCAGTGGATAGAAGACCTCTCTCTCTGTCTCTGCCTCTCTCTGTAACTCTGTCTTTCAAATAAGTAAAATAGATCTTTAAAAAAAAGGTACCCTTTGAACTATTTCAGTTAATGCTAAATCCCTGTTGTAGAAATGCAGATAGTATTTAGATTTAAGTATTTTTAAGAGAATCCAAACACATTTTTATTCAAGATTGTTAATAGTCTTAAGGAATGCGGATGAGAAATTGACAAGTGTTAATGAAACATTTCTGTCTTGATCATAGACATAAGAAACCAGTCAATTACTCACAGTTTGAGGACTCCGACAGTGATGGTAAGTAGAGCTTCTTA